GGTTGCTCCAGGTATCAGGGCTCATTGTCAGGTGGAGCGCGGTATCCCGTCGACAGTCTTGTGTGGGAGTTTAGCGTGTGGGTTGAACCAGGAGTCGGAAGGGTGTTAGAAATGCCGGTAACTGGAGCTGTAGAGACTCCAGCCAGATGTGAACCGAGATTGTGGAATTATAGAGTGTTTGGTCATATATCTGGCCACCGCCCAGTAGCAGGTGTAATCCAGAGAGTCATATATATCTTTACACCCTGTGAGTGGGTGGGGTCTCACCTCGTTGTGCTCGCCTAGTTGTGCTTGCGGGTGTTGAGCCTCTCAACAGTCAATCAACTGGTGTACAGGTTCCTGAGCCTATTGGGCTCTATCATATCTACACTTGAAGCTGTGTATGGAGTCAGCTTCCACCACATCACTAAGAAAAACATGCACTCTCTTGAACATTATATTGTAGAATGTCCCATACTGACTGACTTTCGCCCTCCTGGGCTAAGGTATGCTGAACTCTGTAATTACTATATGAGTACTGGAACACTTGATGATATATTGGACTTGTATCCAAGATTGACCATGTAATTGATTAATTATACAATGTATGTATATGATGTAACTATATAACCTGAGCTTGTAAAAGCACCTTAATCACCTTCAGTGATTAAGTGCTTAATTGCACACTAGTTTCTTTATCAGCTATCTCACCCTGTCAGAGTAAATGAGACAAATGTATGTGAATGCATGTGTGTGTATATATGTATGTATATGTGTGTGTGTATGTATATGTATGGGTATAAAGTATATATGGAAGCTGATCAGAATTACATTTCACCTTTATAAATGTACATTAATGACACTATGTAAAAGACACATCTAACACTTTATGTAGGGCATACGTAAATCTGTGTATCTATGTATTTACGTATATAGGTTAGCTTAGCATTTTAAAAGCACCGAATCACCTTCTGTGGTTGAGTGTTCAATAAACCCTTGAACTATATTTTAACACATCTCTAACCCTGTCCATGGAGGACAGGAGAAAATGTATATATGCTGGTTAGCATTGTAAATGTCTGGCCACGTCTGTGGTAGATAATAATAATAATAATAATAATAATAATAATAATAATAATAATAATAATAATAATAATAATAAATGTGGTCTACAGTACACACACACACACACACACACACACACACACACACACACACACACACACACACACACACACACACACATACACACATACACACACATACACACACATACACACACATACACACACACACACACACACACACACACACACACACACACACACACACACACACACCACACACACACACACACACACACACACACACACACACACACACATAAATGATTCTTTTACAGATCTTTGAAAAATTTGCTGTATTCTTGTGTATATTATTCTAGAATTGATATAAAGTAAAACAGATTATTCCCATTGTGCCGATTCCTAACAACGATGTTCATTAAGGTTAGAATTGGAATTGTCTCAACCCGAGAAATAAGATGAACTGCAAAAAGGCGCCGGAATAGCCAGCAAAAACTCTGGGATGGGCTCCTGGGAGGAGCTCCTAGGAGGAACTGCTGGGAGGGACTGCTGGGAGGAGCGCCTAGCTCCTGCTTATCTCCAGAGAGGCTGATGAATGGGTGGAGCTGTCAATAGTTTGATATTAACATGGACAGCCTAATGCAATGCGTACTGATTACACCACGAGCAGCGATAACCAGCCAATTACGAGAAAGTAATGAAAAATAACTCCGACGTACATAGTATTATGATAAGATCTTAAATACTCTTGTGAAATATTAGTTAAAAGAGTGTTAACCAAGAAATCTGGGTGGAATATTGCATTGTATCTTGTATGTAGGCGGTCTGTCTTCAGGCTAGGGTCGTCCAACCGGCGTCCAACCCCAACGATGCAGTCATCAATTTGTGTTGAATAGTTAGGCCTAAGTTTGGTTAGAGTCTGTTGGTAATTATTAGTATTTGCAGGACGTGGATGAAGCCATTGGAGAAGTGGGAATCGCGCAGAATTTGTGAAGAACATACGTCATCAGCTGCGAGTAGGTTACCTTGAGGTGCTTCCGGGGCTTAGTGTCCCCGCGGCCCGGTCGTCGACCAGGCCTTATGAGTAGTGTATAAAGTATTGTTCATTCATGAACACTGTGTTTGGTGGCTGGATTAATGAGCATTTGGCATTTGTTGATGAGGACGGGTTGATGTGGGACCCGCTAAAGCTACAAATCTAATCATTCAAGCCAGTTTTGTCAATGTTCGCTCATAGTCATCTGATTATTGTCGTAAATCCGGTATAATCATTCTCTAATTAGCAATATGGTTAATGAGCAAGCTTAAAATATTATAACAAATTGCAGCCTATCGATATATATACCGTAAATAAATCCTCCCATAAGAATTTCGACTCCTGCGACGTTCATCATTGAATTTGGTCATGCCTATTTCTTGCACAACTTGTGATCATCGTTTGAGAGAAAAAAAAACGTATTATCACAAGCTCTGAATGCAAGATTCGCTAATCAAAATTCCACTCACATCCGTCTAGCTAAAAGCCAAAGCAAAGACCGTAATCTGGGAGCCCGCTACGTCGCATTCCCGAACGGTTTCAACCCGTAATTGCAGAGTCTCTCCCGAACACCAACTCAAGAAATGTTCGCGGGCGTAGGCAAGGTGTTCATTAGCGATGATCTATTGCGCCTTAGCGAGGCGGAGGATTATTACCCTTAAACGCTGCCTCCTACAATGCTTCTCTTGCTGTCCATCAAATTCAAGTTCAAGATTGCTTATTGAGATAAGAAATACATCTCAAAGGGATAGAGTAGACTAGGCTATATCTACCCCCCCTTCTCTTGCTGTCCATCAAGTTCAAGTTCAAGATTGCTTATTGAGATAAGAAATACATCTCAAAGGGATAGAGTAGCTTAGGCTATTTCTACCCCCCCTTGTGTCTATCAAGTTTAGTCTATCGCTTACTCCAAATGTCTGGTTCACTTTGTAGAAATCGTCTATGTTCTTGGCTCTCAACTTATGATCCCGGGTTTGATCTCCGAGACAGGCACGATTGGGTAGGCGTTATTTTCACCTGATGGCTCTGTTCACCTAGCAGTAAATAGGTGCCCCCAGGGGCTTAAGCGACTGTTGTGGGTTGCATTCTGAGGCTTCACAAACTGCTGCTGCTGCTGTTGTTAACGGAGCTATAAGCCAAGCAGAGTTTTTTCTTTAACTTTATTTAATAAAATACAATATAAATCATACATAAATTTTACAAGGCATTTGTTTCATATTATCACAGAGCATGAACTTTAAACCCCTAAATGTCAAGCAGAGTTGTCAGTTATTGCTTAAGAAAAATGTTTTACAGTGCAAAATAAGTTCTCAAGTGATATTAATCTAGTTTGTTTCGTATCAAAAGGTTAAGAAAATACGTCGTTATAATTCCATTTAGACATACCTTGAGGTTACCTTGAGGAGCTTCCGGGGCTTAGCGTCCCCGCGGCCCGGTCGTCGACCAGGCTTCCTTTTTGCTGGGCTGATCAACCAGGCTGTTGGACGCGGCTGCTCGCAGCCTGACGTATGAGTCACAGCCTGGTTGATCGAGCATAATGCAAACCAACCCAATATCAACACGACCATGAACAGAGAGAGAGAGAGGATTATTAATCTTACTTTTTGTGTTCGAGTTATTAATTTAAATCATCACCTTGCCGCCACATCCAGTCAATGGTGCATTTATGCGCTTAATTTTAAGAGGGATACAATGGTTTACCATGATCGAAGCTGTCATAAGTTTACCTATCGTGTAATCTTACATGATACCAGTTTAAAATAATTCTTATTTAATTACTAGGATACTCCCAAAAAATTACATCAAAGGTATTGTGGCAGACTGGCTATGCTACACAATAATCAAATCCTTATATAATACTAACAGACCACTTTTTCCTTAGATTTTGATTGGAAGCTGATTGGGGTTTTCACGTTGATTAACTGGCTGTAGAAATGGATACAAGTTACATCGTTCAAAAAAGCGGTTCGCCAACGGGTTTTAAAACCTAACCTAACCTGACCTAACCTAACCTAACCTAACCTAACCTAACCTAACCTAACCTAACCTTACCTTACCCAACCCAGCTGAGCCTAATCAAGTTAATACACATTAACTTGGGTATTAACCAAGTTAATGGATTGTGTCGCCCTCATGCTAAGGATTGTGTCGACTTCATGCTAAGGATTGTGTCGACCTCATGCTAAGGATTGTGTCGACTTCATGCTAAGGATTGTGTCGACCTCATGCTAAGAATTGTGTCGATCTCATGCTAAGGATTGTGTCGACCTCATGCTAAGGATTGTGTCGACCTCATGCTAAGGATTGTGTCGACCTCATGCTAAGGATTGTGTCGACCTCATGCTAAGGATTGTGTCGACCTCATGCTAAGGATTGTGTCGACCTCATGCTAAGGATTGTGTCGACCTCATGCTAAGGATTGTGTCGACCTCATGCTGAATACCAACATTAGGAAGGGTCTCCCTTATTTAAATGAATTCATTTCAATACTCACAAATTGTCAATTGATATGCCTATTACTCACTTTCCTCGCTAATATTTCACAAACTGCTTTCAAATCTGATTCACGAACAAAGGTAAATGATTAATAATAATCCACGACCAAATTTTTGTTCACGATTATCAATATATTTTTTATTGTTAAATTTTAGAGAAATAAACACTTGTTTAAGTATTATAAACCTTTATTCACCTAAAGTTAATAGAACGTAAATTACTTTTATTATATTGTAAAAGCTTTTGTATATATATATATATATATATATATATATATATATATATATATATATATATATACTATATATACATATATATATATATATATATATATATATATATATATATATATATATATATATATATATATATATATATATATATATATATATATATATATATATATATATATATATATATATATATATATATATATATATATGAGAAACTGCAGCATATTTTGCAGTTACAAATGGAATAGGCTTCGTTTTGTTTATTGCATACGTCCATAATATCCACAGTTTATTACTTAATTGTGTGCTATGATAAACAGGCTGACATTATCTTAAGCCTTTTGATAAACTCTCTCAATAAAATAATTCTTACATGGATACCAGGAAGTAACTCTTATCACAAACACGTAAGGCGACAGCTGAGCCAAGATTCATAAAGCGTTTAAGTATTCACCTACGAAATCTGTACATCTTTCGTCAATCATGGCTACTTACTCTATAATTGTTAAACACGTTAACAGCTTGGACGTTTCAAATTTGAATTTGAATTTTTAAATTTGAAGCGCTGCGAGGTCGTTCTCCCCCAGATTAGTATCATTATAAATACAAACAAACCGCAATAATTGAGGAACCATGAATATAGTCTTAAGTGAACACTTAAATATTTGATGAATCCCGGCCTAGATTCCCACTTGATTGTAGAGGCATCAAATGTAGATCGTTGAGACGTCAGTTTGGGTCCACTCGTACAAACATTAGATAGCCACTACTTGAAAAAGACCTCCGGACCAGGAATGAAAAGACTCCTAATTCTTTATCCAAGCTGAAGCTTCCTCAGCAGTAAACAGGTTCTTCTCCAAGGCCTGTTTGACGAAGTCCCGCGTAGCGTGCTCGATAGCTCCAGACCTGCTCTCAGTTCTGGCTGTCAGGGCATAATTATACATTGAGATTAATAAATGCTCTCAGGATGTGCATGATAACAAGCATGTTATAACAGTCGCTCGGAACACCGCCCTCACTTCTTTGATACTAGTGTCTGAAAGTACTCTCCTTCTTCTAATACTTCAGTCTGAAAGTACTCTCCTAATACTTCAGTGTGAGAGTACTCTCTTTTTCCTGATCCTGGTGTGTGAAAGTACTATCTCTCCCCTGAAACTAGCATGTGACAGTGTTAATTACGTTTAATTACGTAATATTAATAAAGTATTACGTTTAAATTTTGAAAATACCTGGGTAAATACTATTTTGGAAAAAGGGTTATTTGCGGTACAGATTACCGGGAAACAATAGACACGGAATCTAATTATTTCTAACGTAGATTAACATATATGAATGAGTTTAGGTAGCTATAAATAGGAGCTACCTCCTATGGGTTAGTAGGCTTTCTGCAATTTCAACGCTTTATTTCAATGTTTTATATATGTAATTTTTTTGCGATGATACGACAAAAGCCTCATGTATGATATGGCAACGATTCGTGTTTTAAAAGCTATCAACATGTTTTGGTTAAAATGTTATATGATTTTTTAACCTGTCCAAAAAAGGCTAGTACCTTTTATTACTATGGATGGAAGTACAAAATATTGAGTTACTCCTAAAAATGTACCGTTTTTTACCATTAAATTTGTAGAACACCAGAGAGAGAAAACCAACCCGTCCTCTTAAAATTACGTCGCTTTTCGCTCGTTTGCCCGTTTACAAAATTTCAATTGAAATTTCAGACGTAATTTGTAAGATAACTGGTTGAGAAAACAGCCAAACCAAAACTGTCCTATGCCTAATACATGTGTACTAAACTAGGCCTAAAAAGTATATAATAGGCTAGAATTGCTTATTTAGGCTAAACAGGTTTATTGTTAGTTTCACTTTTCGGCGCGACCTTCTACAGTATTCTGATAGTGCTAAACGTGATTTTTTTTTGTACCTTCCATCCATTGTACATTACAGAGTTTAGCTACATTCAGTTACACATACATATATATACATGTGTCCGTGTCCATACTGGGATACTTACAATGGCCAGAGAAAGGTACCCATCCTGGGCACCACATTTTACCCTTGTAGTACATTTTCCACCTGTAGAAGGTGGGCTTGTAGCTGTAGCGGCAGCTATGGCCCATAAACTTAGCCTCACCTTCATGCCATAACCTAAAATAAAGATAAGTTTATAACTATCTCTTTCCCTTACATTGTAAATAATAATAAAATAAGACTTGACAAAAAGCAAGATCAGAGTTTGGGAGACTCACCCTGCCAGCTTGTTGATAATGAGGGTGATTGTGTCATCCCAATCCTGGCCATGACAAGGGTCAGGCGCCTCCATCACCAACACCATCGCCAACACTACCACCAACACCGACCACTTCATCTTCAACACCTGCAGAATGATGTGCCTTTATTAGTCCCAGTGATGGAAATTTGGGGTGGGAATATGCCTGGTGTATGGCGAGTACCTACTTCTCAATGTCCAGGAGCCAGATTCGCGAAAGCACTTACGCAAGCACTTAGGAACCTGCACATCTTTTCTCAATCTTTGGCGGCTTTGTTTCCAATTATTAAACAGTTATAATGAGCTCCGAAGCACCAGGAGGCTGTTTATAACAATAACAACAGTTGATTGGGAAGTTTTCATGCTTGTAAACTGTTTAATAAATGTAACCAAAGCCGTCAAAGATTGAGGAAAGATGTACACGTTCGTAAGTGCTTGCGTAAGTGCTTTCGTGAATCTGACCCCAGGTTTTTTATGTTAAATTTCAATACTAATGGAGACATTAGCTATTTTTGGTCAAGTTTCAACTAGTTAAAATGACTCGTTTATTTGTTATTATGGAATTTACCCTTTTGTGATCCCCAATCATAAATTCTGGATATAGCCTTTGCGTATACCTAGTTCCCTAAACTCATTTTCATCACCTAAGTGCAGAGAGTTGTTTTGGTGCTAGGCTTAAGTGCAGAAGTTTACAAATAAGCTGGTTCTAGAACTAGATGAGCTGGGTGATGGACCTATCAGAGAACAGAGAAAGACATTAAATAGGTGACAAAGGGAACTGTTTACTGATAACAATGACAGAAGACATGGATGGAAACTAGAGACACAGATATGAGTCTCAGGGTTGTGTGGAGTTCTCATTTACTGTAAGAGTAGTTGGAAAATGGAATGAGCTAAGAAAGGAAGTCGTGGAATCGATCTCATCTCAACATGAGATTGCTAAACATGAAACTGCAAAGGCCTACAGTCGCATGCAAGTAGGCTTTGCATGCCCAGTAGACCTAGCTCCCTTGTACACCAAATCACTTTGTTTTTTAAATTTAGTCTCGTCTGCATTTATGCAGCTATCCTAGACTATGCGAAGTAATTATCAAAAGAATGTACCAATCCGGGTAGACTGCGTAGTAGACTATATAAGGGTCACATACTTGGTCAAGAGCTAGTTGTTCTATCCTAAATCCTTATTCCTTTATGCCTTCCAAGTGTGTTGTAATGGTTTAGTGCTTTCTGATGATAATTAACTTAACCATCTCGCAAGATGGTTTAGTCATACAAAGCCACAGTACACACAGTAATATATTTATGTGACCTTTTTGAAGCCTTTTGCTGATCCCACCTCTAATAGATAACGTGGTAATCTCTAAATCTAAACTTTTATAACAAACTCATTGTTGTGCCATCCTTTTACCCCCTTATATGAAAAACTTGAAATATAAGCCTTTTAAACTTGAAATATAAGTAAAAGGTGAAAAATTCACCTTTTACTTGAAAAGGTGAATAAATATAATAAATATAATTCATATATACTTATCTAAATTTATATAAGTATGCGGAAAATCCTTATATGAGAGGAAATGTATGAAGGGTGGTAAGGAAGGACTTATCAGGGAAAGCGCCAAACCATTACGACTATATAGCACTTGGAAGGGGTCAGGATAAGGATTTGGGACGGGACGGGGGGAAAGGAATGGTGCCCAACCACTTAGTCATTGCATTAAATAGCCCATAGTTGGGCTGGTGGGGACCAAGAGCTCAACACGAACACCTGAGTTTATCTGAGTGTACGCACTTCATTGTTAAAGCAAGATGACATTGTAACATCAAAATGTTGATTAACATTCAACAAATAATATCTAATCTCAATTGAGGATCCTGGGTTCAATTTCCCGGCAGAACAGAAATGGTTGGGCACGTTTCCATTCACCTAATTCCTCTGTTCACCTAGAAATGTGTACTTAAAAGAGGCACCCGGGAGTTAGGCAACTGCTGTGAGGCTGCATCCTGGGGAGGGCCAGTAGTTCAACCTTGGGGGGGGGGACCTCGCTACAAGTACATATAATTCATATGTAAATACACAGGCTTCCTGTCCTCGACAAAATTAATTATCATTGTTATATTGCCATATTTTCATTAAAATATCCAGGAATCTAAAAAAAAAGATGAGACACGCACTAAAATAATTTGAACTTGTAATGCCTGTGATGTGGATCGTTATGAATCATGATATAGTTATCACCACACAGGAGGGCTATTTAGAAATCCCAGCCCGGCCTCCAAGCAAAGACCCAAAAGTGATTCCATGTTCCCGCCAAACCCCCCATTTATGAATGAAAAACGGTTTACACACGACTCACAACTGATTTCGTTCGAACAATTCTGGAACAAGTGCTTCACTGACGACTTTTGTTCGAATCACAACGCTGTAAATGCTTCACCCACGTACTACAAATACAAATAATCGCCAACAGAACCTAAACACCTAACCTAACCTATCCTATGCCTATATATGCACAATATGCTAATATATTATAATATTAATTTATACTTGCGAAAATTCCCGTTTTGAATGAACAGCATGTTAAAATTTATGAATGCGTCTGTGGGGTCGACCGCTGAATGTAATGGACTTGAGTCGAGGACGGGTTAGTAAATGTACGTAAAATCCACGTACTACAAATACAAATAATCGCCAACAGAACCTAAACACCTAATCTAACCTATGCTTATATATGCACAATATGATAATATATTATTATATTAGTTTATATTTGAGAAAATTCCCGTTTTGAATGAACAGCATATTAAAATTTATGAATGCGTCTGTGGGGTCGACCGCTTGATGTAATGGACTCGAGTTCAGGACGGGTTGAGAATTCCCGAACTAGCAGTATGAACAACGTTATCCAAACTATCACTGCACAAGAGGTTGTTTGGGACTTGCCTCAGTTGTTGTGAGCTGTGACGAGTGTGGGATCCTCACTGGTCCTCGCCGAGACGTTCAGTGACGACCACCAGAATGGTATATCCTGGCTACGGCAGTGACGCATCTCGCTCGGATAAGATAACTCTTTCATAAGTATAGGGGTTTGAGATATCAACATTTTTATTACAATTTAATCTTTTATAGACTCAATAATACAAGAAGAAATGTTTTTGAACGCTGAACAATGATTTTGTATGCAGTTGCAGGGCGCCATATATATATTCATACATATATTTGTATAAAATGTTGTAAATAATTGATAATAAATTTCAAATACGTTTTGCACAATGGTATTTGAGTTAATATCAACTCCATTTCACATGGAAGCTAGGCTTTGTCTACTGAATTTTAGGACTTTAAAACCTAATACGAGGATTGTATTTTTCGACTAAAGGTTTGGCAAGGGCAAAGGGAAGATGGGAATTGTTTATTTTAGATTGAATGAAGATGCCCCAGGCAGTGCCGAATTTAGGGGCAAATTAAATGTCTTTAAATTCGTTGGTCTCACATTATGAGTGAGACCAACCGGTGTATTATCTAAATACACCGCAAAGTCTCATAGGAGCTAAAATGCAAGAAAATTAAAAATACTTTCTGATTACATTTCTTGTTTGTGGATAAGCAGGCAGGTGGGTTACTTGGTAGACAAAATATTGAAGTTCTTGCGAGGCAGGATCAGGTATAACATTTGCGGGTTTACGGCTCATGCTCGGTGATGATATGGAAAATTAGCTTGCTGAGAATTATATAAACTATATGTAATGTAGTATTTATATGTAATGTAGTATTTCCCTTGAAATTGATGTAAATTTAACCTTTATATTGTATATTATTTAATAAAGGATTTTTTTTTTATTCTTGTTGCACTTTTGCTTGTGTATATAAGCAAATATACAGTTTTACCATTGATCTTCTAAGAAACGGTCCGTCTAATTACCGCAAGCTACCACAAGCTACACAAGCTTCACTGGCAATAAATTAGTAATGAATAAATATGATGTATTTACTCATTATAATGTTGGTGCTGAATGTACAACACGAAAAAACATAATTTTAATCTGAAAAAGTATCTTTTTATAAAGAAATTAGACGAAAATAAAGAGCTGGTGACGCCAAATCAAGTCGACGATCCAAGCGTCGATTAAGTTAGGTTAGGTTCAAGTTCAAGTATGTTTATTGAGATAGGCAATAAATACATCTCAAAGGGATAGAGTAGCTTAGGCTATTTCTACCCCCCTCTACTTCAAGTCCCTCAAGGTGCGCACAAATGCAGTGAGTACAAATAGACAAATAACATTACAATTAGGTTAGGTCAACCTAACCTATCATATTTATTCATTACTAACGTATTGCCAGGAAGCTTTGTGAAGCTTGTGTAGCTTGTGGCAGCTTGCGGTAATTAGACGCTCACGTAAAAATCCGGCTCAGAGAGAGAGAGAGAGAGAGAGAGAGAGAGAGAGAGAGAGAGAGAGAGAGAGAGGAGGGAGGGAGAGAGAGAGGGAGAGGGAGAATGGGACGGGAGATAAATGTCGGTGGGCTGGGAATCCCTCCGAGATCACCTGCCAGGTGGTGTCCTTCAGGGGAACACCATATTGGTGTTCCCCTGAACGTACGGAAAACCGTATGTTCACCTTCAGTTCTGATGGTGCAGCCCGTCCTCCAAACAAAGACCCGAAAGTGATTCCATGTACCCGCCAAACCTCCCTGTTTATGAATGAAAAACGGTTTACACACGACTCACAACTGATTTCGTTCGAACACTTCCGGAACAAGTGCTTCACTGACGAGTTTTGTTCGAACCACAATGCTATAAATGCTTTACCCACGTAAAACAATTACAAATAATCGAGAACAGAACCTAACCACCTAACCTATGCCTATATATGCACAAAACGCTAATATATTATAATATTAATTTATATTTGAGAAAATTCCCGTTTTGAATGAACAGCATATACAAATTTATGAATGCGTCTGTGGGGGTTGACCGCTGGATATAATGGACTTGAGTCGAGGACGAGTTAATAATAATAATAATAATAATAATAATAATAATAATAATAATTTATTTAGGAAAAGTACATACATAGTTGCAGAGTTACAGTACAAACATTCTGTTTGATTTAAAGATAGAGGTAGTACATACAATACCTAAAGCCACTAGTACGCATAGCGTTTCAGGCAAGTTCGGTTCAAGTTCAAGTTCAGTTGTGAAAATTCGCCTTTTACTTGAAAAGGTGAATAAATGTAATTCATATATACTTACATAAATTTATATAAGTATGCGGAAAATCCACAAAGAAATTGGAGAGGAAGATGATTTTGATCGACTTGAGAATGGTCCAGGACGGACCGAAACGTCGTCGTCCCTTCACCTTCTAGTGTGTGGTCTGGTCAACTTACTTTAGCCACGTTATTGTGACTCATCGCCTGCATATGGAAAGGAAGATGAACGTTTCGGCCGTGTTACATCCGTTGTCAACACCAGACTGACTAGCAGAAACAAAGGGAGGGTACAGTTGTTGTTGTTATAGCTTCAGCTACTCGGAACAAGTTCCAAGTAGCACGGGCTATGGTGAGCCCGTAACGTACCTGGCACAGGAGCGGGGCAAGTAGCACGGGCTATGGTGAGCCCGTAGTGACCGAGGGTACAGGTCAACAGCTGAATATGACCACATATGCAGGCGATGAGTCACAATAACGTGGCTGAAGTATGTTGACCAGACCACACACTAGAAATTGAAGAGACGACAATCAGAGGGTCGTCTCTTCAATTTCTAGTGTGTGGTCTGGTCAACATGACCACATATCCCCAGGTAAAGAATTACCCAGAAGCAGGTATAGAGTTAGCTTAGAATAATAGGATTAAGCGGTCAGAGAATAAGGATGAAAGATTAAAGCCTCAATGAACACACAATATATATGAATATAATATTGAAATGAGACATAGTAACCCTTTCAGAGTTTTTTCTTAAGCTGTTGTGCAATAATGTAACTTAAAAATGGATCAAGTTTATACATACCAGTACTAACATTGATAAGATTTGAACACTAATTAAGGCAAACTCGATCAAATTCCGTTCCACGAAACCACCACAATTAGTAATGCGTTTCGCCCCATCTCACTTAATAGTGTGATCACACAAACTCGTGTGTAGATACAGGAGACGTTTGGTAGACGTTTGATACATTAGACGTTTGGGCAGTTCTAATATTATAAGCATGTTGGTGATCGTCCATTGCTTATATAAGTATATATAAATTTAATATATATATATATATATATATATATATATATATATATATATATATATATATATATATATATATATATATATATATATATATATTTATATATACTGTATATATATACGTTCATCTTCCTTTCCAATTTCTTTGTGGATTTTCCGCATACAAATGATCAATGTTTCGTGATCGTCCATTGCTTATATAAGTATATATAAATTTAATTTATATATACAAGAGTTCTTACATACTTATACAGCCACTAACATGCATAGCGGCTGCTAGTGGGCAATGCTGCTATGGCGGCATGTTCTCTTCCAGGAATAGTGACAGTGCCTAAACATCTCGGCCCTCGGGGCAAAACTAAAAAAAAATAAAAAAAAATAAAAAAAGTAATCGCTGTAACCTTACTACCGAATTAGTACTGAATCATATTCTCACCTTCATACCTCCATCTATAAGCGTATTTGTAATATAATTATTCTAGATTAACATATAAAAGCGTATTATTTGATAACCAAAATGTTATATATGATGCATTTTAACGTATAAGAAATTGTTTCAACTGATAGCGGCCCTCTGGTGACCAGTCGGGCTATCATTATCAACAACAACTCCGTCTGGGCAAGATATCACAAGTGCTTTTCGGACTTCCTTCCACCTCCTTAAAGGGTTTGTGCTCCTAGAATGTTAGAAATAGTATACTAGAACTATTTACTACGTTTTTAACACCTTCGGGTGGTTGTTAGTGCGTGAGAGAAGGGAGAACTGGAGAGTAGAGGGAGATAGTGGGCGTGTTGTACTGTTTAAGAGGGGCGGAGGCTGTCAAGGTCTACTGAGTCCGGGTGAAGTATGGTACTCTGGTACTCTGGTACTCTGCTACTGTAGTACTGAGGCACTGGGGGTACTGTAGTACTGAGAGGTACTGTGGTGCGGCGACACTGTAGTACTCTGGTATTGGGGGTACTTTAATACCGAGGCACTGCAGGTACTGAAGTACTGTGCTGCGGCGACGCTGTAGTACTATGGTACTGTGGTACTTTAATACCAAGGTACTTTTTTATTGTTTATACGTATATATATATATATGTATATATAGGGAGTTTTTCAAATGTTTCCTTGTTTCCAAATGTTTCCTTGTTTCCAAATTCACACAGTACTACGGCACGGAGGTACTGAAGTACAGTACTGTGGTGCAGTGACACTGTAGTACTATGGTATTTGGGGTACTTTAATACTGAGGCACTGGGGGTACTGCAGTACTGAAGTACTGCAGTATTGTGGTGCTGCAGTACTACTGCAACAGTACTATATTAATGCAATGTTGTAGTACTACAGTACCATAGAATTACAGTTCTGCAGTATCACACAGCTACAGTACTGAGCACCACAGTACTGCTGTACCTCAGTATTAAAGTACTGCAGTACTGTACCACAGTACTTTTCAGAGAGCATTACAATCAACCATAATGTAAACAAATATTGTCTTAACAATTTAATATTACTGAATATTCAAAGTATAATAAAATAAGAACGGTAGTATATCTTACTTAGTCTTGTATGAGTAATCTTTCTTTGCTGGCTTGGAAAGACATTCTTAAGAAGAATCAATTTCCAACTGAATCAGCCACTGAATTTATAAATAATTTTAATTTTTTTTATAATAATATTTTATTCCTTTCAATAGACAGGACTTTGAATAAGATAAAGTGGTTACATAGTGGGTAAAGTAATTGTTTATTATATAAAGGCACTAGTGAAGCACAGCATTTCAGGCAAACCTTGTTCCTTGGACTTAATGGGAGGGGGGAGGGAGGAATCTTCAACAAGCCACCGGCTTCCTGTCCTTGTTGAGGCCACCAGAGAGAGACAGTAGCCCTCAGGTAAATTCAGGTAAATTGATAATAGTGCCTCAGTGCTGATCATCTGATATGGTTATGGTGCTGGGAAAATTGACTGTGAGCTCCATTTATTAAAAATTCATGCATTCATTCATGCTCCAAGCTTGTCCATGGTGTTGACTTATGAGGGGTATTCGTAGCATAGTGGTCTACATGCTTGGCTCGCTGTATACCAGTGCAGGACAAAACTGGCTGAGAACACTTCATCTCCCCCTGTTGCCTTTGTTTACATAACAGTAAAATAGGGACCCGGGAGCTAGGGAATGGCTGTGTTTGGCATCCTGGGGCAGGGTCGGTGCAGTACCCTTAGAGGGACTTTGGTAAGCCTATATACAAGCTTCCTGTCCCCGGCAACGGGAATTATTATTACTAGCATCACTTTAATGTAGGTTGCCAGCAGTATGAAGTTACTGTATTTGTATTTAAACTGAATAGAATTGTTTTTATTCTTAGCTAATATGCTGTAATTGGTTCATTTGCATGCCTGGCAATACATACATGTTATTTGATGTTAATACTTAGAATGGAAGTACTGTAGTCCTGTATGAGTATAGTCTTGTATGAGTATAGTCTTGTATGAGAATAGTCTTGTATGAATTACAAAAATTATCATTTGTCCACAGAATACAAGATGCCAACCTCAATTGCAGTCGTATTTGACAACCCAACAGCTGTGTACTTCTCTGGCCAGAACATCACTGGTCATATAAATGTGACATGTGACAAACCCAAGTCATGCAGAGGTTAGATGTGCCTTTTTTTATGTATTTATTTTATTATTTTTTTATATACACCTATACTGTACTATAATCAATAATTTATGCCTGTATTATATTACCTTTTTATTTTATCGTACTACTTTGTTGAATGGGTTGAAGTAATATGCATGAATGACAGTATTTCATTTGTTAGCTTGATGAGATAGTTATCTGCTTGTAATTGCACATGCATTAGTAAAGTGTTTACCCTCCACTTCCCATCTGCATGCAGTCAAGTGTTAGTGTTAATGTATGTACTAAAGCACTGTTTGTGCGCAGGGGAATTATTGTATTTTATAAATCAAGTACATTCTCCAGTTCATTTTTTAAAATTAATATATTTTACTGCTATATTGTGTATAGAATATTGTAGCTGGTTTTCAATTAAAAACACACTTTAGCCTACAAATTTTCAACCAGTTAAAAAGGGATTTGTTTTTTGGCTTATTTAACCATTACTGCAGTAGCATTTCATACTCAAATGGCTATATGCTACCTGTTACATAGTAAAATGTCTATAACCACACTGTGGCAACTCTGAATGTGTGTTTTCATTGCCTTTATACGTGACATTTTTCCTCATGCCGGGTTTGTGTGGATGCAATTATCTTGGTGGATTTGCCTCTCAAATAAGTACTCTTCTCCTCGATAAGGTTTTCATGATGTAATGGCACCTTGTAGTCAGTGATAAGAGTTGCTCTGAAATATTGGGATGAACTCACCCTTTTAGGTGCTCACCCTATGTACTATAAGATGCTTTGTGGATGGTATAGGTACCTTCATTTTGTTGGGTTTTCGATTGGCTGCTGCATCAATAAATGCTGGTTCAGTGACAGTCTGAGCTTGCAGCATTGTAGGCTCTGGGGGAAGGGTGTAGAGTTAGAGTTGGCTACTTCAGGGAAATCCTTTCTTTGGGGAGGGGGAAGAAAACCATGTGGTTGGGTTTCCTTCTCCTTCTTTAGTTTGTTGGCAGGCTCTGTTGTGGAGATGAATTGTGACCTAGGCACCTCTTTGTCATTGTCAGGATAACTGCATTTGAGAAAAAATTTGGGTTGTATTTTGACCTGGTCTGGGGCCTAGACACCAGGTCAGTGTGTATATTACTGAAGATTTGTTGTATCTGCCCTCCAAGTTTGAGGTAGTTTCCAGTGTTTCCTGTAGCAACAGGGGACACATCCCTGTTGCTTAAGTTTACTCAAAGCCACTTGTGTGCAAACAAGACAGGAGTTATGGTTATTCCTGCCATGAGGTTAAAATCATGCGTCAGTTCTGGGTCTTGGATCATACAAGTTTAGGTATTCTAGTGCTTCTAGGACAAATGTGCCAACCTTATTCTGGCTAACGTACAACTTTTGGCTTTCTTTGGGGAGGGGGCAGGTTTCAGTCGGCATTCTGGTTTGGAATAAGACTATCTGCAATAGCTGCCAAATGTTATTGTCGAAAGTCTGTGTGCTATGCTTACTGTAGTTGGTGTTGCTTGAAATGTAAATGGCCTTCCTTTTTTTTGTTTAAATTGTGTTCAATTCATGGCACTTCTTGCTTATACTGTACTAGTTGCTGGGACACAAGAATAATTTTGTTTGCATGAAGCATATGCTTTGTTGTGACAAGTTCTTCTTGGAGTATTATCCATCATGGTATATTTGATAGTCCCCATGCATTGGCTCTAGGTTATTAGCTCATTCTCTGCATTTTTGGGAACGATTGAATCCGTCTGTCTGTCAAGAGTCTCTATCTGCATTTAAAAAAAAAAAAATAATGGAAATACAGTACAGTAGCTTCATGAAATATTCTTTGTTTTTATTTTAAACGTGTCCTATACTGTGTGCAGATGTTTCCTTACTTGGATTTTGTATTTAGTCTCTTGGTGACTGTGCATAAAACGTTATTGGGAGTTCTCTTTAGGAAGTTGTTCACATCCCCCCTAACCCTTTAGTCAGTAGGGTGGCAACTGGGGAAGTTAGGTATTGAATACTTTGTTTGTTTTAGAGTGTTCTTTGGCAATTTAGTATCATTGTCATAGCAGGTAGTTTCTCTCAGTTGTGAAATTATCTCCGATCCCCACACGTTCCTTGTCCAGTTGGAGGAGACCTACCTTGAGGTGATCTTGAGATGGCTCTAAGGATTAGTGTCCTTGTGGCCTGGTCTCTTGATCATATTTCCTGGTTGGTGGTCTGGTCAACCAGGCTGTTAGATACGAGTGCATCTAAAAATATACATTATTTGTCCATATGGGTAAAAAAAGTGATCCAATACTTTGCATGGTTATAGTGTTCTTGGATTGGGATGTTTCATTACTCTTGACAATCTACTTATTCTGAATTTATAATCTCGATAAGCTTACTGCATTCATTCTGAAGTTTAACTTATTTACTGTTAAATTTTTAGCATGATATTTCATGTTGTAAAGAGGTATACTGTATTGTATTAGTATATGAAATTTTCAGGCATTGAGGTGAAATTCAAGGGCCTTGGAAAAGTACACTGGACAGAGCGGCGAACAACTGGTACGGGCGATGACCGAAAGACGGAGACGCGACATTACACTAGTCACGAGACCTATTACGAAATGGCCTACTGGGTCTGGGGAAATGGTTTGTACATTTGTATTATTTTCTTGGTTATTCATCATGTTTGTAATAAATTGATGATGCCTGTAATTCTATGCAGTTTATTTTCTATGCAGTTTTATGCAGTTCTGTAATTCTATGCAGTTCTGGAAGAATATTTTTATACTAGATATTCTCATTTAATTGCATGATTTATCATTCATTACTCTGATGCATTTCCCTTATTTTTATATTTTCTTCTGAATATATAATTTTAAGCAATAAAGTTGCAATTTATTAGACTATAAAGTGTAATTTGTAAAAATATCATTTGCAGTTAGGGATGAAATCAAGTAAACAAATTTTTCATTTGTAAGGACAATATGAAAGCTACAAAAGTACATTTTTCTCATTCTCAAGACACAAAATACAATTTAAAAAGCAATTATTTGTACACTTTATGTCCCTAGGTGATAAATAGTTCTATAATGAGACAACTGAGAAGAATAATGAAGAAAGAATGTCAGAAGTTGCATAGTGAGCAAAAATCTTCCTGCTTGACTGTAGATTAATGATATAATGTGCTGTTTATTATGTTATTTTAAACATGCTATATTCATTTCTTATTGGGAAGATGTTTGTACATTACAGGTCAGGCTACATCAGAGCTTCCCGCTGGTACACATGTATTCAATTTCAATTACACTCTTCCTGCCGAAATTCCATCCTCCTTTGAGTCGCACATTGGCAAAGTGCGTCATCAGTGTAAGGCGAAGATGGACATCCCCTGGAAGACTGACAAGACTTGCCTCAGGCCGTATTCTGTCAACACTTTGTATGATCTTAATACAGATCCACAGGCAGCGGTACGACTTGTATTAATTACGTTTATAAGTCTCGTTTAAGTTTAAAACATTACTTGTTATATTTTTAGCTATTTCAGACACAAATTCTTATGTGATTTTGATAAACATTGCCAGTAACGTTGAAATGTATTGATTAAACCCACATGATAACATGTGGTTGAGAAAATATTTAAGCCGTGGGATTGGATGAAACCAGCATACCTGAACTCCTCGGACACATGTACCACTGATACTTCAGGTTGAGATAGCCTAGCCCATCATGGTCCAGTCGGTAGTGCTTACTTGAGAAATTCAGGGATGTGGGTTTGATCCTGTTGTATGGCTTTAATATTTTCTCATAAATATACAGTACAATATATTGTTTTTGTGATTTCACTATATATATCATGTAGTTGTTTGGTACATAGTAAGGTTAAGTTACATTTGGTTAAATGTAAGCTAAGGTACCTCGTTTCCAAATCATGTTTTTTCTGAGCTAGGTTCCCTCGGTTGTTTATTTAGTGAGTGCCCAGGTCTTCCAGAACACCATTCACAAACCAGGCTCTGGTTGATCTCCCCCTCACAGTGATGATTAAATTTACAGATGGTTGTGCACCCAAGAACATAAGAAAAAGAAAATGGCAAGGCTCATTGGCCCATGTGAGATGACAACTGCCTATATCCAGTGATCCCATGTCTTACTTTTTACTGTATCTGGAAATTTGTTCCATAAATCCATAACCCCACCTCCAAGCTATTGTTTGTTGATAGGAGGGGGTCCACTGGAGTGCCTGGTGCTTCAATATCCAGTTTATTTGACAGGGTTTGGTTAGGGTTTCTCTGTAGAATCTGATAGTCTAGTTTGAGGGAGCTGTCCTTTAGTAAAAGTCAAGGCAGCAATCCTGCTTATGTGTACTGTACCTTGTCGAAGGCACCCTAAGTTTTCAATAATTTAGCTAGTGAGAATGATCAGACAAGCAGGGAAAACGAGAGAACTCTGAGTGGTGTATATTTAAAAGGGTCTATTTTGGAGTTGACTTGAAGGGACATCAATGTTGCTTGTGTCATTTGCCATATTAGTTCATAGCTAATTTTACTTAAGGGCATGTTAGGCTCAGGTGTGTTGTTAGTGGGTATCAACCCCTCATTGACCTTTTATTGCTGTGGTCTGCATTTGCAGCCGCTGCTAGTCAGAGTTTGCTAGTGCAGAAATATTTGCATTGTAAAAATGTTCTGGGTATTTTGGACCCTTCTAGTATTCTTGGTTCATTGAAGAAGAACTGGTAGTGCTAGAAGCAAAAATTTAGCTTCTTGAACAGTGTTGAGGTAATTTTCACTGTGTGTGTATTCTTACCGCTTCTCGGTTGGGCTGGGTCATGGGGATAGACCCGTATTCCTTCTGCAGATAAATAACCATGGGTGATCACTCTGCCTTTGCTGGTCATGCCTTCTTTTGGGTGAAGAGTTAGAGAACTCCTCAATAAGGTTAGAGAACATAGTTGTGTGCTCATTTTTCTGGTAATGGTAGAAAGTGCTCAATTGAGTAGGAGATATATTTTGGCAAATTTTGCTATTTCTGATCCTCATTCAGGGACATGGCAAGGTTAAATCAGGAATTTTACCTAGACTGTTAGTCCAACCTTGGTATTATCAAGTGTGTAATTTATGTTATTTTCCTAGTCTAGTGCAGTAGTTGAAAGAGCTTTCATTTTACTTGCTGCACTCGGGCTGTAGGGTGCAAATATGTTTCCAACCTAGGGCTTGGTAGATGTGGAAGCAGGGTCATTTACAATTTTTTTTTAACAGTAAGAGTAGATGATCTTTGGTTTGAGATACCATGTTATGGTATAGAATTGTAGGAGGTTGTAGTCATAACACTAGGGTGGTTATGTGGGCAGTTTCCAGAGATAATTCTTGTGTAATGATGACCTGCTGGCCTCACTGGAGATCACTGATGTTTCACATACCAAAAAGAGGAAGATATTCTGAGATTTGTCTCACCTTAAAGGGCCTGACAGCCGAGTAGACAGCGCTTCGGATTCGATCTCTGGTGGAGGCGGAAACAATTGAGCAGAGTTTCTTTTACCCTGATGCCCCTGTTACCTAGCAGTAAAAAGGTACCTGGGAGTTAGACAGCTGCTACAGGCTACTTCCTGGGGGTGTGTAGCAAAAAGGAGGTCTGGTCGAGGACCGGGCCGCGGGGACGCCAAGCCCCAAAATCATCTTGAGATAACCTCAAGATAACCTAGTTTCCTTACCTGTAGAGTGCAGGCAAGCTAGGGATATGCAAGGGATGTTCAGTAGCCAGGGCCTCCACCTGTGTTGTGGTCGACATACTTTGTGGCACTAGCAGTGGAGACATGACCATGATAATGTCTTGTGATTCATACACACAGCTTGTTTACTTCAAGCTTATGCTTTCCTATATCTTGGTAAGAATTTGTTCAATTTTATCAGTGTTAGAAATATATAAACGTTAACATTAATATTATTTTTATATTAATAATTTACTACTTTTAACAAATGTTCAGTTAAAAAGACCACTGGAATCTAGTTGCTGAACCAGTTATGTATCTCTTATGCCCCATTTTCATCATCTTTCACACTGCAGATATTTGTATCCAGCCTCCACCAAGCAGGTCAGGGGCATTGTCCTCCAATGTTGTTGCAGGCTTACATCAACATTTGGAAAATGGCAGTAGTTTGGAGGGTGTTATCATTCATCTCCACTTCAACAGCGTGTCAGTAGTATTCTGTCTCAACAAGGGCAGGTCTGTCGATCCCCATCTATTGTGGTGTTGGATGCTGGTTAAAGCTTCTGATATACAGAATTGATATTTCCTAAGAGTGGTCCATATTTGAGGGGTGTCGAATGTGCTTCTCCCTGTTTTGTCTGTTGTGCACAAAGTAGAAGGTAGACAAGGCCAACTTCCTGTGGATAAGCAACACATTTGGCATTGCCCAGTTGAGTCTATCTGCATGGAAGCTAATACTTTGTGGAGGTGGTGGTGTAGCTCTTCCTCTAACATCTTCAAGCTTTCTCTTTTTTTAACCACTAAAAGATGTCTTGGCTAGCTATCAAATTTTATATATCCCTCTCTCTGTCATCTGTGTTAGTTTATCTCCATATGTTGTTCCTCTTTAGGCTCCGTTTAGAGTGGATGCCTTGTTTGGATTCAAGTTTGGAGCTTGTGGCTGCCTGGTACCTTTCTAGAATTTCACAACTATCGGTTGCTCGGTTGCACTTTATTTTTCTTCAGGTACTTGGCTTTGTTTCTGTTGGAGTTATATAGTTTTGTTGATCTCCACTTTGTAACTCGGGTAAGTTTCTTTTAATATTTTTCTTGTTGTAGTATTGCACTTGTATCTCATGCTTGCTTTAGAGAGCATTCAATTTGAATATTTCATAAATCAAGGTTTTGAGTGAAAACCTCTTTTTTTTCCACTCAATTTCCTGTTTCATACCTACATGTGTAGAGTTCTTACTTCATGGCCGTCGTCATGTGATAGGGATCAAAGCAGGTTTGTGAGGTTAGCATGTGTGCTACTATTTGGTAAAGGTTGGGAATAAGTATCGTGCGATCAACTGGTGATTCACAACCGCGTTATTTGTTGGACCTCTGATCCTAATAATGGCCTGAACAGTCTTTTGAGTGCTATGAATCAACTTCTTGTTGCCAGGGCTGGATTGAGCTTTTCTCCAGTGCCTACCTAGCATCAATGTGATGTGTCATAAACACTGGAAAAGATATCTGTTGCATTGTTAGAGAATATCACCCTAAGTTGACTTTGTCATGATTTGTCCAATGGAGCATCTAAGTCTGGCTCAGAGAGGCGCTTTTGATGTTCATTCAAAGTCTGGTATTGGTTAGCTTTATTTTGATGCAAGTCTAAATAAAATTAATGAGTAAGAAGTCATATACTGTATTACATTGAGAAAATCCTCAGAGCAGAGCATGGAATTGAACTTGAGTTGTGGTTGGCTGTAGTTGCACTCTATAAAGCATGAACTTAAAACGTCAATAAGGTGTGCATCTTTATTTATTTTTTATTTATTTTTATTTATATATACAAGAGTTGTTATATTCTTGTACAGCCACTAGCACGCATAGCATTTCGGGCAAGTCCTTGATCCTATGTTCCCCGGAATATGACCCACCAAATTGTTTAACAACCAGGTATCCATTTTACTGTTGGGTTAAACAGAGGCTACAGTTAAGGATTTGTACCCAGTAAATCCTCTCCGGTTAGGATACGAACTCAGAACAAAGCAGTTGCGAAACGCCAGGCGAGTGTCTTACCACTACGCCACGGAGACTGCTGTGGCCCACGGTGTGAGTTCAATTCCATGCACTACTCCAAAGATTTTCTCATAGATATATAATGTTGTGATTTAATGTTGCATATATTAAAATAAATATTATTATTATAATTATTATTATTATTATTATTAATATTAATATTACAGTATTATTAATATTACAATAATATTTTCATTATCAGTAATATAGTAAACTACTGTATTCCATTTTAGTTGCCGATAGAATGCACCAAGCATGATTATGCTTGCTGCCTGTGGTGTAGAAGTGGACCCATGTCGCTTGTGCTGAGAATTGATCGCTCGGGATTTGTTCCTGGAGAGAAAATACTCATAAATGCCGAGTGTTCAAATATGACCAAAAATAAGATCAATTCTACTAAGGCAGTGATACACCAAGTGAGTATAGTACTGTAGATTGTTATTTTGGAGCTTTTGCTTAGACTATCCTCAACATTTGAATATTATAATGTTGAAGTAAGAATGTTGAGTATTTATAAGATTTTCAGTTCATAATATACAAGTGTTTACAGCTCGTGTCATCTTATTACTTACACTGAACAGATGTCATACACCATGCACTGATGGTGCAGTGTTTGATGTCTGATTGACTGATGAGGTTTAAGTCGCCCCAAGAGGTGGCACGGGCATGAATAACCCCATAGATGTTTGATGTCTGGAGTGAAAATTATTTTGATACATGCACTTTAAACATTCAAAGTGAGGTGAAACCATTTTCAAGAAAGTCTTTACACAACTCTGAACTGATGACATTAATTAAAGTACACTTAGTTCATAAACCAGATCATGTCTGCTATGTAAAATTTCCCCAGTCAGTTTCCACTTAAGTAAGCTCAACTTTCAGCTTAAGAAACACTCCAATTGTTTGGGATGTACTGTATTGTATTTGCTGGCATATATGATGCTCTTATTTTAGAAGGATATTTTATGAAAAACTAAATATTTGTATGTTTCAATATACCGTACAGTACATTTATTGGAAGTGATTTTCAAGTTAATACAATATATATACAGTAGTTTGTTAGTTGTGGACCAAAAATATGTTCTATTCCCCAGCAAATACTTTAATTCGGTGCATTAAAATGTTGAACACTCAATGCATGAAAATGTAAAGTAGGCAAAACAGTGTTCCAGCTAAAATGTTTGACATTATGTGGATTGTTCATAGTTTTTAGAAATTTAATTTTAAATTTTGTCCTGAGGGGGCGAGTTTATTGGACAGCTCCACTTAGCTTGAGAGTGGACACACCGCCATAGTGACAGTATTGGGCAGCACCACTCATCCTGTGTGTGGACACACCATCATATTAGCATGTACAACACCCTCCAATAGGAAGAAAACCTGCTGGGTTTTTCATCCTGTCACTTGTACCCAGACACAGCTAGGTTCACTCCTCAATTGTCTCAAGTGAACAGCTTATCAAACAAGAAGATTAACATTCGTCAACCCCTAAAATTTACGTTATCTTGTGGGTGTAAAAGTGGGGAGAAGCGTTTAAGAGCAGAATCTATATTTGACAAATATTATTTTCCTAACTCAATGTGCCTGTCAGCTGAGTGGGCAGCACTTCGGATTCGTAGTCTTGAGGTTCCGAGTTCAATCCCCGGTGGAGGCGGAGACAAATGGGCAAAAAGTTTCTTTCACCCTGATGCCCCTGTTACCTAGCAGTAAATAGGTACCTGGGAGTTAGACAGCTGGTATAGGCTGCTTCCTTTGGGTGTGTAACAAAAAGGAGGCCTGGTCAAGGACCGGGCCACGGGGACGCTAAGCCCCGAAATCACCTCAAGATAACCTCAAAAAGAAGATATGTGGGGGTAGATTATTCTACACACATTTCTCAATGTCTTGTAGATGATCACATTCTCCCCAGGATCCTTAGTATTGATATGCTTTTGGAGTTACCTTAGTTCATTTAGACTGGTTAGAGTGAGACCCTTGCTTGGTGCTGGGCTGATGTTCAATCCGAATGGTCTAAGAAGGTTGGCCACCCTTCCTTCACTCTGTTCCTATATCCTGAGTGCTATATAGTTGTACTGGCTTAGTGCTTTCTCCTGATAATATCCTGTCGTTCATTGCAGGACAATAATTACCTGAAGTGCAAAAGTTGATAAATTACAAGATTGAAGAGACTTGTCACATTGAATTCTTGGTGTTGGGACAGGAAGCGTGTACTTAGACTTATTGAGGTCCCCCCTAGGCTAATTACTGCCCCAGGATACAACCCACAACAGTTACCTGACTCCTGGATACCTATTTTTCTTCTAGGTGAAGAGAGGCATCAGGTGAAAGGAATCATGGCAACCATTTTTGTCCTACCTTGGGATTGAACCCTGGTCCCCTTGAGTGTGAGTCAAGGACATAGACCATTGTGCTACAAAAGTAAGGGGATTTAGCTAATAAATCATCAGTTATTTTTATCAATTATACTTTAGTTTATTTGAAAATGTTTACCAGTTATACCTTAGTTTACCTGAAACATCCCCCCCCCCTCCCAAGCCATTTTAATTAACGATTTAAAGAGAGAGTGTTGAGGTAGTGACTGAAATCCTGATGCACGACTTGAGTTACTTGAGCATGACTTGATGCATGACTGAGTTACATGACTTGTTTTTTAATGATCACAAGCTCCCAGGATAATGCCACACTTTACTGAGTTATACAATGGGGTTATAATGTCACCATTTGGTAATGGATATGTAGGGCTGTGGGCCACTCAAAGTAACAGCCTTTTAGACCAAATTATCACAAGAGTCTTAACTCCAGGCCGGGCTTCCCAAGCCCGGCCCGGCCAGGCCTGGGAGAGATAAGAGAACTTTCAGAGCAAACCCCAGGTAACTCCAGGCAAACCTGGCTGTTTGCGATGATCCAGGTCCAGAGGACATGGCCGCTCTTGTTTTGGGGGCCAACGAATGTAACTGAGAAAAGTGTTGAACAGAATATGTTACAGTTGATGCAAACATACAAGCCAAGAAATATACTTGTGTTCAAATGTTTAGCATATGCAATATAGCATATATTGCTGTCTCATTACAGGTCACTTGCCTCATGTAATTTTAATTTTTACCAGACAATAACTTACCATGCAGAAGGAAGTCGCAAGAGAGAAAGTAGGAAAATAGCGGAAATCAAGAGACCTGAAATTAAGCCAGGTGACGATGATATTTGGTCCGGTGTCGAGATGCTTATCCCATCTCTCCCGCCTTCCCACCTTCAGTTTTGTCGCATCATCGATATTGAATATGAATTTAAGGTACGTGTAAGAGAGTTTGGAAAACTGGATCAGTTTCACATTAATTTGTAGGCACATACAAATGAAAACCCATCTAGATGAACAGAATGTATACAATATTCCCAGACACTCTTTGGAAGTCTGTGGCATTACCTTCACTTGAGGTATCTCTATAGTTACAGTGCAGTACAGTCCATTACAATGCCACACAGTGAGTATAGTACTATACACAGCTGTACAATGCAGTACAGTTCACTACAGGGCAGTGCAGTCCAGTACAGAGCAGTGCAGTCTAGTACAGAGCAGTGCAATCCAGTTCAGGGCAGTCCAGTACAATACAGTACAGGACAGTCCAGTCCAGCACAGGACAGTGCAATCCATTAGGGGCAGTGTAGTCCAGTACAAGGCAGAGCAGTCCAACACAGGGCAGTACAGTCTAGTACAGGGCAGTACAGTCTAGCACAGGGTGGTACAGTATGAATTTATGCATGTAAATATAGTATATTCAGTTGGTGGTGGATCAAAAGCATGGATCCTATCTGCTAACAAATACGGAATATATATACGTCATGTGTGAAGATTTCTGTACACAATTACAAAAGTGTATCAAAACGAGTGTCTGTGTTCATCATGCACACTCCTTGTAAATCAGCACGCTTTTTAGACTGAATTGTAATCATGCATAGTTGCCTATTGATATATGCTTACTCCCTCAGACCTCCAACTTTCCCCTTCTCCCTTTCCCCTCTTGCCTTTCCCCTCCAACTCTTACCTTCTCTCTGCAACTCTCAATCCCCCTTCCCCCCCTCCCCTCCAACTCTTGGCTTCCCCTTCAAATCTCCAGGTGTTTTCCTATCCTCTTTTTAATTACTTTTTGCATTATTATTTGTCTTTGTGAAATACTTGCATTTTTCTTACTTTAGCATGTATATTATTAGTAGTGTTGTACAAATGTTAGAATATTTTTTTTATTTTTGTTTATTTTACAGTTTGAAATGGATCCCTCAGGATGTCACACAGACTTGGAATACAAATCGCCTGTTGTAATTGGTTCTATACCCTTGAGGCAGTACTTCAGTTCATTTATTACAGCACCTGTTATGTATCCAGGTCAACCAGTTGGTGTTCCAGGCCTGCCTCCTGCACCAGGTTTCATTCCTGCTCCTGGACAGCCCCCAGTGCCTGGCATTTGTCCTGCTCCTGGACCTGGTATGTTTAATAGCCATCCAGGTGCTCCTGGATATCCAGGTCTACCTCCTCCTGGATACCCAGCAAATCCACCTGTTCCTGGATTCCCGGGACAGCCTTCGTACAACCCAGTTGAGCCTGGAGCACCAGGAATTGCGTTTGCAGGTGGCATTTCGCCAGACACCAATTATTCTCCTTACAACCCCAATTTCCCACCTTCAGTCTATTCTGGATCACTAGCTCCATCAGCACCTGTAGCATTCCCAGGACTTCTGCAGTACCCAGGAATGCGTAAGTAAATCTAACATTTTATCGGGCCGTTTTGTGCTATTTGATTCCTCGTATTGCGGTGAAGTTTCTCTCAAATGTTTTTTTTTGTGATTGGACATTTTCTGTTTAAGAAAATATTGATGCCATATAATGGGGGGGGGGGTCAAACCCACAGCTCTGAATGCCTCAGGTACACACACACTACTGAATGGATCAAGATGGGCTAAAAGTATCTTGACTCATTATATTGTTCCAGTATTTTTTTCATGGATATATTGCATTTTCGTGATTTCATTGTGAACGTTCCATTTGTTTGAGACCTTTTGTGACAATTTTCAAAATGTTTGTTGCTTAGATTTCAATTGGAGATGACGTTGTAATTGAGAATGATTAAAGTCTGCATATTGCATACTTCTCATTTGGTACAAACTGACATTTAAAGATTTATTCACATTTCTGCACATTTTCATGTGAGGGACCATAATGCAATACTTGAAATGTTCTTCATTAATTTTACTTGTAAAAGGGTAAGAGTTAATTTTGCTTTAAAAATGATTTAAGTACCATTCTCAAATAGTAAGAAAAGACTAACAGAATCCACCAGGAAATGAAATGCATTATCACCAGGCAGTAATGGAGAAAGTAGAAGGAGATAGTAAATGGCGAATCTAGGTACATGGTTGAGAAAATATTGAAGCCGTAGGATAGACTTGAACTGACATCCCTGTACTCCTCGGGCATATACATGCACTGGTATCATTATTAGGCACTATGTTTAGTCACCACCGGTCGGGAGCCGGTTGGCCGAGCGGACAGCATGCGGGACTTGTGATCCTGTGGTCCTGGGTTCGATCCCAGGAGTAGGCGAGAAATAATGGGCAGAGTTTCTTTCACCCTATGCCCCTGTTACCTAGCAGTAAAATAGGTACCTGGGTGTTAGTCAGCTGTCACGGGCTGCTTCCTAGGGGTGGAGGCCTGGTCGAGGACCGGGCCGCGGGGACACTAAAAGCCCCGAAATCATCTCAAGATAACCTCAAGATCTCAAGAAGATAACCACAGACACTTGAAACAGACATTACATCCTTCCATTGTCGTCCACATTTGTGATGCTTGTCTGCTTGATAGCCTGCTGTGTTTTGTTCATTTCCATGCTTAAGGTCACTGGTTACTACAGTATAGTGTGTGGTGGTTAGTACAGCATAGTGTGTGGTGGTTAGTACAGTATAGTGTATGGTTTTACTACAGTACAGGTATAGTGTATTTTCACTTAATGGGTGTTTAGGATAATGGCTGGAAGAGCCTCAGAAAAATAATAAAAAAAACTAGTGGTGTACAAGGTGGTTTCCTTAGTGGCAGAGGGTGTGATGATCAGACAGCATTAAAGTTGCTGTTAATTGAGAAAGTGTGTGATATAAGGTCTATATGACATTTATAAGCTTCTATAAAGTATATGAATATGAAGGTATATCTAGAGAGGAATAAATACATATGGAGCTTTTTGAATGCTATTTAACTGAAGAACTTTGATGAATGAAGTTGTTATAATAAATAATACAGGAATTCAGTTTTGTTGGGGACAGGAAGCCTGTGATATATAAGGAACCAGGTAAACTGAGATCGTTTAATATACATGCTGTTTCCTAATTATTTTGTTCAGTTGTTCTACATATACAGAAATTATAATGGTTGTTTCCTTTCTTGGAGGGAAAGATTCCTCTTAGGGTGAGAGCTTCTTACACTGAAAAAAAAAGAAAGGTGTATGGCAGCTCATTTAAATGATTAGGTCGTGGCTAATGGGTGAGGTATTTATATAGTGTGGTAAGTGCTGGTGATGGGAAGATGGTGTAGGCAAGGTAGAGTTGTTGCTTTGTGCACGACATGTGGCAGGGAATAGCGGTAGATTGCAGTAGTTTGTGAAGACATAAATACTGCACTTGACACGTACTGTGTATCATTTATTTATTTTTATTTATTTATATATATATATATATACCAGTACATACAGGAAGTTACATTGGGTTTATGAGAGCACATAGCATGATGTGTTTACATTCTTGTAAAGCCACTAGTACCCACAGCGTTTCGGGCATCATACCAGTATGAAGACTCGGGAGGGACACTATACGTCTTAATGTTATGATGTGCTTTCCTGACAATGATGCCACACTTACTGAACTTGTTATATCAGTACTGTTGCGTATTTTGTAACTTGGGTATTGAATTTATTGTTGTATCTAGCCTTGACATTATGGATGAAGTGTAGAGGTGCTGTTTCCCGCTGATACTGAGACCAGTGTAAAATATGATGAATAGACGTTTTTTTTCTTTCATTTTTAGCCCTTTTTCTATTAGAGTACTTCTATTTTTTCTCTGATGCCTCCTCCCCATGAAGGGGGGAAACAGGGTGGTGGTGGTGATGAATATATATAATTTGTTAATAATAAAGTAGCAATGGTTGAAGTGGATATTTCAGTTTGTATGCAAAAAGACAAGGAAGACAAAGGTGGTGGTGATGGTGATATCAGCTGTGAATGATGAATTACAATCTGAAGAGGTTGTAAATGAGGGAGTCTGTTTAATGTCACAATGGTATTGTAGATGACATTGTGCAAAGCAAAGGCCATTACTGGATTTGTGTACTCGCTGACAGAGAATACATCTTTGTATCTCTCTTTGTATATTCTCTTTGTATCAAAGAGAATAGGTGGGAGGAAGCTTAGTTTGGGAGCAGGATCCCGAGACGTGAGGCAGCATGGGAGTGGATCCAGGGGTGAGTGAACGAGTGATGTGTGGAACAAGTATGTATAACTTGACCTGGCATTCATGTGACCTACCAAGAGGATGAAAAGAACATTAAAGGAACAAGGAATATTCTTGACTGCTTAAGAAAAATAGCTGCATGGTACATAACAGATAAACCATTATTAATGGTTTACTAGTATTATTTTATTTAATCCTACCTAAGTGTGCAGTACCATTATATAAAGTTTAAAGACTGAACTAAGAGAGATAAAAAAATTTTAGTGTGTGTAGGAAGAATGAAATAATAGTAATAGATGTGCAAATTTATTTATTCCATTTGAAGGTAAATTAAAACTGAAATAAGTTTATTGAGGTATAAATACACACAAAGGGATGAGGTAGCTCAAGCTATTCTCACCTCGTTATTAAAGGTAAAGGGATGGCAATAATGGTATTTTGAATAGAAGAATTTTCCAAGTATCTCTTGGAGAGGAATACAAGTAGAATATCTTATTAGTTACACATAGTATTAATTTTTTAGTGTAATTAGTATAAAATTTTGAAAAACATTTATACAGTAGTAATAAAGAATAAACCAGTCAGACATTTTATAATTATATGAAGCTGAAACCAGATTGTTTAATTAAGAAATACAAATTTGAGTTGAAAACCCAAGTTAAATGAACTGAAAGGGAATTGGTTAAATATTTTATTTGAGTCAGTAGAGAAATGTCCTTCATTTTATACATTACACAATAAATAGAATGTAACAAAATACTAGTAAGGTTAACAGAGTATGTAGTGAATTGAAAATGCACCAATCAGTATATTTTGTTTTGATGATAATACTGTATTGGTTAAATCATATTTGTCGTCATGTTATATTAATATCTTAAACTTTCGACAGCCCTGCCAACTTACAACCAGTGTATGTTTGGAGTCACGAGGTATAATGAGGGTGATAGTGACGACGAGAACCAAGATCACAATGATACCAAATTTGCCCCTCATTATGTCTCCTACACACTAGTGAATTCCAAGCACCAGCAGTCCTCAGGTGAGCTGCAGAAATGCTGTTGTTTAAGAGTTTTTGCGTTGGAAATGGTGTATAAAGGGAGCCTCTGGTGTGTGGAGCCGGTCTCTCCATTTGCCAGCCAGTAAACAGTGCAACAGTTTTGCCTAACCAGAAATGTATAAACCTGAGTAGCCCGCCTAACATATTGAGACCGATGCATAGAAATGATCACCCTATTACGCTACATGAGTTTTGACTAATATGTCTCATCTGTAACGGATTTGTCGACTCCATTGAAAATGCAGGGTATTGAGAGAGAGGATGGGTTACTCTTGAGTTTGGATTATGGCTTATTTGGTTCTATACATTTAATGTTTTGAACCCCAAACTAAAATTAATGCACTAGGAGTGGGAGTGGTCAAATGAGAATTGTTTTGTAAGAATTTCCAAACAGATACTGTACAGAAAGGATGTGCACGTGTATGCCTGGAGTTTACCTGGAGAAGGTCTTGGGAGTTGTTCTACTCCCTGAGCCCGGCTTAAAGCCAGGCTCTACCTGGCCACCACCACCTCTTATATGTGATACTATATATACAATTCTTATACTCTGACATGATTGCTCACAGTTACTTTGTGTTTGCTTCACAGAAGAGAAATTTGTAGCAGTGTTTGCTACACTGCTGGAGAAATATAGGAAAATTCACTTTTGTAAACAGAGTGGTAGACGGTTGGAACAGAGTAAGTGAGGTGGTGGTGGAGGGCAAGACCGTCAGTAATTTCATAGCGTTATATGACAAAGAGTACTGGGAAGACGGGACACCACGAGCGTAGCTCTCATCCTGTAACTACACTTAGGTAATTACATACTCTGGCTTATAGTTCACTTTTGTTTGATGGCAACATGCATACTTCACTTCAAAAGTTATGTATTCGTGACTGTAAAATGGTAGAAGTACTGTATTTAGTTATGATGTCCAGGCTGGTGTCTTATTAAGAGAAAATAAATGGGTTTTGGAAGTCTAGAACATACCATAAATATTTTTATATAACCCAAAGTTAATTTCACTGTGAATTAATTCCCATTACACAAGGTTTCCTGGAATGCCACTCGCACAGATTGAGTGCTTACTTTATATGGCAGATGTATCTAATAGTTATATATACAAATAAATGTAGTACACAGAGAGTAATCACACTAATGTGATGTGTCAATGAGAAAATTCGTAGGAGCAGTAATGAGGGTTCGAACCTGTCCAGTGGATGTTCCCATGCACACGGCCTAGTCAACTAGGCCACGACATGGTCTCACCCACTGCATAGGTTCGAACCCTCATGACTGCTCTTACGAATGTTCTAATAAATGTAGCATTTTATATTTTTAAATACCAGTACTACGTGTATTAAACATGTTTCTGTGGGGAGCCCCTACGGCTCCCTGGAGCTTATCGGGCTAATGTGTGTTATGTTAGACCGGGACATTAGCTAAGGAGTTCAGACCTACCAGGGACCAGCGCCAGAACCTGGCCCCTTCAGAGAGGTTTCAGGGAGCAATGGCCCTGGAAAACCCCATATGGTTGGGGGTTTTCCTTATCTGCCATCGACCGGGGTTAGGCACCCAGAAAGGTAGGCGTAACAAAACAAACCCCACATGGTAAGAAACTACAACAAAAACCGAACAGAGAGGTAGAAAACTCCCTACAATCCCAAGGAAACAAGCAAACAAGCAAACATCACACTTTACTGCCGCGCCGATCGTCCGCGCAGCCCTCCCCACCCCGGGAGGGGGAGGGGGGAGCCCCGGACCTACCGCGCCGGCTGCCAAGCTTCAGTTCGTTCGCTAATGTCAACCGGGATTGACGCTTCTCTGGCCGCAGTTTCCTAGGCGGTGTTTGCCTTGTGTGGCGTTCACTGCCGTGTGTTGTGGTGTGCGGTGGCCAGGAGTACTTCATCAGTGCCGGGGCTGCATGTGCTTAGTGGCTGACTTCCCTAAGCGCCCTGTGAGTACTGCCCTTGCGTTACAGGGTTATCTTCCCTGGGGCGTTCGGGAACCATTCCCGTAGAGGTTCTTGCTGCTCGGCATTTGCCTCGCCCTTGGGGCCAGCTGGGGCTTGGGGCCCTTGTTTGGCCCTGGGTAGGGATTGGTATTGTGCTGGTTAGGGCGTCAAGGTGTTGCGCAGCCTGCCACCTAAGCGGCGGCCGGTTTCTGTTGCCTCTGGAGACGGTGTACTTTTGCGGGGTTTTTCTTTTGTTTTTCATTTTCTTGCCTGGTGGGGGTCTGCCTAAGGTGGTTATAGTTCCACTGGTAGTGTTTGGCGGCCCTCTGCTAGGCCCCCGTGCTTGTACACGTCTCGGGGGTTTTCAGTGCTATAATCTACCCTCTTGTTATGTTTGGGTTTCTTAACCGGTTAGCAACACCTTGCCCGGGCTTCCCGTAGTTGTTACCCTACGGGCCCTGGAAACCCCTGTCTGGGCTCGGGGGACCATTGAATGTGTCTTCCGGGTTCCAACCCGTCTTGTACGGGATCGTTGGTTGCTGTTCCCTTGTCTCCGGGTGACAGTCGCCATTTTTACCTCCGTCATGCTGCCTGTTGGGTCACTGACACCTTGACCCGGAGTCTTGCGAGTGATTCTCTGCTTGTTCTCCAGTACTCTCCTGATGTTATTACTGTTCAGAGTACAGGCGGCATCCGTGTTGCAAGCTAGGTTAGGTTGCTGCAACATGCTAGGTTGGTTTCCCACTCGAATGCCCCGTGGCCGCCCCGTTTGGTTAGGTGCTGCTCGCCCCTTTCTCTCCATGTTCCCGGCTCCGGACCGTCTGCGTGTTTCTGGGTCGGGGCGGGGTTCAGTTGCGGCAGAGACTCGGGCGGTTTTCGGGGGATGCCCCGTTCGGGTTGGGGACGGAGGTTTGAGCCTGTGCCTCCTGCCAAGGCTTCTGGGTCTTACCAGCGGCCCTTTCTTGTTGCCTTTCCCATGGGCTCTTGCTTTTCTTTAAGGGCGGAGGGCTTGGAGGCCGGCTCTGCCCCGGGGCCTCTGTTGTTGGTTCCCGGGGCTGTGGGGGATGCCTACTAGCAGTTCTGGGGCGGTTTTGCCCCTTCAGGGGTTTTTCTGCTGTTGGGCGTCGTTTTTCGCCCTTCCAGTCTGCTAGCTTCCCACATTTGCTGGCGTGTTTTTGTGTATTAAGCGTCAGTCACAGCCCCTGCTGGCGGCCATTTTCGTCTGCCGGTTTCCCGGCGTGGCCACCAGGGCGGCGTTGCGGTTTGTTTACATGCGTCTGGGTGTGCGAGCGAGCGTCTCTGGTGAGTTTTCAAAAAATTTGCAGGGTTTTTGTTCTCCTGTTGTCGTTTCTTTGTTTTCTGGTGTTTTCTTGCCGTTGCCTGTTCCTCTGGGAACGTTTGGGTGTTGATTTTGGGTCTGAGCCTCTGGGTTTAGGCTCAGTGCCCCTGGCTGGTATGCTTGCTCCCACACCTTGCCCCTCGGTTTTCGGTCTGTTGGGACCGTTTTCCCAGGGCGTTCTGCTGGGGTCTGTGCTTTGCCTTTTCGTGGTGTTCTCCGCCGGCAAATGTGGTGGTTTGGGCTCCCCCTGGTTCGATTCTGGGTTCCTTTGGGTTCCTTGGTTTCGTTCTGGAGGTTTCTTCCTCTTGGGCCCCCTTTTGTGGGTTCAGGGGACTTTGTTTCCTCGTGTGACCCGGTTCTGCCTTTTGGGGTTCCGGGGTCTTCCTGGCTTGCAGACTGCGCTTTTTGGGTCTTGGCACATGTTGTGGTTGTGCTGGGACTTTGTGGTTTTGCTGTCGAGGTGGGCCTTTTGATGCAGTTTTGTGCCTTCTTTGCCTGGCCGGCGTAGTGCTCTTTGCCACTAGTCGGCGGCTTGTGCTTTTACAATATATGTCCTCACCTAGTTGTGCTTGTGGGGGTTGAGCTCTGGCTCCTTGGTCCTACCTCTCAACCGTCCGTCAACAGGTGTATCGGTTCCTGTGCCTCTTGGGCTCTGTCATGTCTACATGTGACATTGTATGGGGGTCAGCCTCGTTACTTGTGTGAGGAGTCGCCACATTACTTCTTAGTGCTTTCCCGTTCCCATTCTGACACTCAAAAAAAAAAAAAAAAAAAAAAAAAAAACTAATTCTATCTGTGGCTCTTTTGGGTACTCAGTTTCCACCTGTGTCCCCTAGTGCGTGTGCCCCTTGTGTTACATATCCTGTCCTTCTCAACCCTGTCGATTCCCTTGGGTATCTTGTATGTGGTGATCAGGTCTCCCCTCACTTCCTCTTCCAGCGAAGTGTGGTTTCATTCCCGTAGTCTCTCCTCATGACTTCGGTAGTGTACTTTTTCTTTCTGAAGGGGTTCTGTTCCCTTCTCTGTTGACTGGGCGCTGGGGGAGCAGCTTGCTCTGTTGCCTCTCGCTTGGTCCCGCTGTTGGTGGGCGCTTTGGGTTGTCTTCCGGCCTCTGTTGGCGTCGGAGGACGGCTTCTCCCCCTTGGGGGGGGTTCAGAGCTGGCGGGGTGGGCTTCTTCCCTGCGCTTCGTCATTTCCTCTTCGTGGGTGCGTGGGGCGTGGTCGATCCGCCCCATCCTTCTGGGCTTCCCGTCTGCTCTTTGCAGTCATGAGTTTTTCCCGTCTGCTCTTTGCAGTCATGAGCTTTTCCAGTCTGCAGTTCTTCTGGACTACTTCCGTCTGCGCCCTGGATCCTCTGCCCTGCTCGGAGGACTGTTGTCTCCTGTTCGGATTCTGTTAGGGCCGGGTGCATGGATGGTGGACCTGGACCTCCAGGTCACTTCTTGGCACGTTCCTCTCCAGTTTTTCTGGGGCTAGCACGGTTGGTAATTACCTATGTGTACTTACCTAAGTGTAGTTACAGGATGAGAGCTACTCTCGTGGTGTCCCGTCTTCCCAGCACTCTTTGTCATATAATGCTTTGATTATAATTGTCATATTGTCATATAATGATTGTCATATGTCATAATATGTCTTCATATGATTGTCATACAATGCTTTGGTGGTGGGGCTTCAGGTTTGCTGTTTTTATTGCATTCCCTATTTTGTGAAGGGCACTTTGTATACTCTTTGCATCTTTACCGGATCTTAGTGCCCTGTCTGCGTCTGAGATTCGGTGTCTGGCCTACCTCGACGACTGGCTGGAGTGGGCTCCCAGTCAGTCCGCTTGTCTGCTCGCCAGGGGATGGTTCTTTCCAGATCGCTGGGTTTGGTTTCCTGGTGATCTGGAGGTTTTACCTTCTGTTTCTGTCCCGGGTTCGGACCTGGGCCTTGTTTCAGGCTCTTGGGCCCCTCATTGTCTTCCCTCCAGAAGTGTTACTGTGGCTGTGGTCCCGCCTTTGGCTGTTCAGGAGGGGGTCCCGGGTTGCTCAGCGGTTGCTTGGGCGGTTGTGCGGGAGTTTGCACTTCGGCGTGCTTGTCTGCCCGCGGAGTCGGGTTTGGCTCCGGCGTCGGTTGGTTCCTACGGAGACTCCACTTCCGCCTCTTGCATTCCTTGGGTTCCTCTGGGGATCTGGTGTTGGTGCTGCGTCACCAGCTTCCTCTTTGGGGTTTTCGGGGTTCCGTGCCTTGGCGGCTCCCCGAGCCTTCGCTCGATGTGTTCACGGACGGGTCGTCTCTCGGCTGGGGCTTTGTGACCAGTGCTCACCAGGTCGGCCGAGGTTGATGGAGTCTGTCTGTCCGTCGGGCTCCCAGCCCGGTTCAGGTGTTCATGGCTGTCTGGTTTGCGCTTCGGAGGGTTTGGGTCACTAGGTACTCTACCATTCAGCTCTGTTTGGACTGTTCTCCGGTGGTTCTTGCCGGAACCACAGGGGGTTTGGTTAACCGTGTGGTTCGTGTCCGGGGTGTGTCCTGCGTCCTGGTGGACAGCTGTCTCGGTTCATTCCTCTTCGTGGGTTGGCCAGTCGTCGCCGATGCGTTTTGTTGGCTCTGTTGGGCTTATGGACTCATGGCCATGGACGTCTTCGGGTCGGCGTGGTCTAGGCGTCGCCCGTTTTGTGGCGCCCTTCCCACCTGCGAGGTCTTCACGGTGGAGGCTTTCGGCAGGCCTGGTCGAGGTGGGGGGTACCTGTACCTCTTCTCCCGGTCCAGCTGTTGCTTCGGGTTCTGGCTCAGTTGCAGCCCATTCCCACGAGAACAGTCCTTATGGTTCCACTGTGGCCGGCCCGGCCTTCTTTTCAGACGCTGCTTGATAGGTGTCCGTACCCGGGGCGTTTTTCCTGAGGCTTCGCCTCTTTCAGCAGGCCGAATCGGTCCTGTCCATGACTGGTTCGGCCTTCTCTTTGGCTCTTCGCATCTGGTATTTTGAGACGCAGGTATCGCCATCTCTATGGTGTTCAGGTGGCTTTGTTGACGGTGTCCCACCTGCGAGCTTCGTCTTGGAGACTGTATGACGTTTATTACGTCTTCTCGCGTTTTGTTTCCCCTCCGGCCTGCTCATGAGTCGCCTGAGCCATCCTGGTCCTTGTTCAGGGTGCCTTCTTCTCTTCCCCTCAGTTTGTGGTAGCCCCTTCGGTTTCAGTTTCCTCCTCTTTGGTACTGGTGGTAGCTTTATTGGTGTGCAGCCTTTCTCTGTCCTGGCGACGGTCGAGGCGGCTGCTTTCCGGAGGGGTTCTTGGGGTATTGGTACTTGTTTGGTTTGGCCGGGGGGTGCGTCCTGTGTTGTCCAGTTGTGCTTTTTGCTGTTGCCGGCGTACCATGCCTGGGGATGCGCTGTGGTTGATCCGGTTCCTTCGTTCCCTGTTTTCAGGGCTCGGGTCTCCCGGGTCGTCCGCAGTGTTTTCCTTCTTACTGCGTGCGGTCTGTCTTTGCGCCCGTGCTGTTCAGACGTTTGCAGCAATTGCTGCTGTGTTGGTGACGTCTCGGGCTCATTTCGGGCGCAGGGGATTGTGGGTCGCACAGGTTTTTGGCCGCCCATCCATGTGTGCGTCTGTTCTTGGGCGTTCTTGTTGCCTTGGGTCGCAGGTTTGCGTCCGGTTGTCTTGGCTTTGCGTTGCAGAGTTTGGGGCGGCCGCCTCCCGGGTTAGCCCTTTCTTTTCCTTCTCTTTGGGTATGAAGCTCCAGGGAGCCGTAGGGGCTCCCCACAGAAAACCAGCGTTGAATGTAATGAAACGCCATTTTCTGGGTGAGCCCCGGAGGCTCCCTGGAAACCCTCCCTCCCACCGGTCGGCGGTTTTTTCGCGTTGGTTGACGCTTAGCTTCCGAACTGGAGCTTGGCAGCCGGCGCGGTAGGTCCGGGGCTCCCCCCTCCCGGGGTGGGGAGGGCTGCGCGGACGATCGGCGCGGCAGTAAAGTGTGATGTTTGCTTGTTTGCTTGTTTCCTTGGGATTGTAGGGAGTTTTCTACCTCTCTGTTCGGTTTTTGTTGTAGTTTCTTACCATGTGGGGTTTGTTTTGTTACGCCTACCTTTCTGGGTGCCTAACCCCGGTCGATGGCAGATAAGGAAAACCCCCAACCATATGGGGTTTTCCAGGGCCATTGCTCCCTGAAACCTCTCTGAAGGGGCCAGGTTCTGGCGCTGGTCCCTGGTAGGTCTGAACTCCTTAGCTAATGTCCCGGTCTAACATAACACACATTAGCCCGATAAGCTCCAGGGAGCCTCCGGGGCTCACCCAGAAAATGGCGTTTCATTACATTCAACGCTGGTTTTTTGGACGTGATTTTGTAATATGGGTTTGCTTAATGTTCTAACAGTCTTTATATAGCATTAAATAATTTTAAATATCTTAAAATTTTTAAAAATTTTGGTTGACATCACTGAGAGAGAGAGATGTTTCTTCTCCAGAGGTTTGGGTATAGGGTTGGCCCAGATAGAGAAAGTGTTCCATTAAAAATCTGAGAGAATGCACATCTGAGCTAAGCATTTTACTTCAATTGAATTTTCAGTCATCTTTATTTACAGGAGTGTTGGTAGATACCAAATATGGAAAAAAGGCAATCATACCTCCAGTCTTCAAAAATGGTATCAGAAATGACTCTCTTAATTATAAACCTGTATTGTTGACAAGCATGATAGTCAAAACCCTAAAAATGATATTTAAAACAAATGGGGAGAACACCTGAAAAGAAATGGTATAATAACTATAAATTTTGAACAGGCAGATCCTGAGTAACAGATCTACTAAGTTTCTACGCTAGAGGCACATAGATTTTACGGGAAAGAGAAACCCGTAAGTTTAAGAAGAAGTGGTCATAGATTCAAGGTAAGGAAACAAAGCTGCTGAAAAAAAACAAGCGGTACAAGTTGTTTTGCAAACAGAGTGGTAGACGGTTGGAACAAGTTAATAATTGAGAAGTTGGTGGATGGGAAAAGCGTCATCAATAGTTTAAGGCATCACACGACAGTGTGTTGTGGTGGGAAGCCTTCCGGGACACCACGAGCATATCTCTTATTCTGTAATTTCACTACAGAATGAGAGAGATGCTCATCCATTTCTTGTTTTTCTTTAGTTGTTTTTCTCTTCTAATTAAGATAATTTAAGGTTTAAAAAATGGAAATAGAGCACATTTAAAGAAGGAAATTGATTAGTGCATTATATGATGAGACTGATATTATTTTAGATGGTGAATTATTTAGATTTTTAAGGGACTGGTGGTTTGACAGGTATTGATGGCATGGCAGCTGTCGGTGGACTAGCAGCTGTCGGTGGAATGGCAGTTGTTGGTGGACTGGCTGGAGCAGCAGCTGCAGGTCATGTACGTCGAGGTAGTGCAAGTAGCAGTTCAAGTAGTGAACACTGTACAGGAGGTAAGGTTGTATGTAAGATCAACCAGCGAAGGTAGTCTATTAGTTTTGCTAGGAATATCAAATTGCATAAACATACAAGTATTATCCACAGAAACTGTCATGACATGGTCAGAAGTAAGCCGAGAGAAGAGAGTAGCATTAATTATATTAACTCTTTCATGTTCCACTCCCTTGCCGCAACGTCAGCTGCAATAAACATTCCACGTATATGAGGGCTTTACTCCGCAACGTGTAAAATGTAATACAGTGCGAGTAAATCAAAGCTCGATTTAGCGAACTATGCAAGACCAATCCTGAATCATTGGAGTGAGGGATGTCAAAATGTTTGCCAATGAATACACTAGAGTAGATAGATGGAAAAATGTCAATTATTTATAATAGATGGCATGTGATGGTGCTGAAAACATTAAAATGTACTGTATTTAAAGCTTGTTGTGTACAGTACTGTATATGAAGTTTTATTTTAATCTTTATTTGTGTTGTGCTGTAGTGTTTACAGTATAATATGTTCAGCTATTATTCTATTGTGCACCATGATAGTTTTGTTTGTTTAAAAGATCTTGATAATTTTTGTGATTATGTACTGTTTTAGTATAATAGTTAAATATCTTCAAAACACCTTACTGTATTTAATGAATTGTATATTTTGTAAACGCTGTAGTTTACAGGGGAGTCTTTATTTAAATTGGGGCTGGGCCCGTTCCGTCATACACATATTAGGGTTTTCGTGAAACCAAAGATTTGCTAGTGTTTTTGCTGTCTAATTCCAATCATTTTTTGGGTTTGCTTGTTGCAATTGATAAGTTACAGGGCAGTAAGTAAGACTAGAAGTGTGACTCATGATAAAGTTATGTAGAACATGTAGTTATTATATTATGCAGTTTCTGTGGATATATTTCTTGCCATCATCAAAGCTAGTAGATTCAGACTGGTATTGTGCATCTGTATATTATGATGTTTTTATATAAACAAATCAGTGTTTTATTTGCATGTATTTTCCAAGCATGTACAGTAGTTAAAGGTTTGGTTTTGGTATGTTTTCTTACTTCAATGACATTTAAAGAACATTTTCTGAGTTATCGCACCTGATTGGCCACCTTAGGCATGATCCTTGTGGTTCATTGGTAGGAAAATCTTTTGCTGTTAGGGGGGATGTCGATATTTTGCACTGCCAGTGATGTTTTTAGATGTCTTTGCCGAGTTATACTGATGCTAGAGAGGCATTGGAAAATACTCAAAACTGACCAAAATGACTACTAGAAAAAAATAAATCAAATCCAAGCACTACTTTGCATCACAAGGACTAGTAATTGCTACTAATTAGGGAGCCGGTCAGCCAAGCGGACAGCACGCTGGACTTGTGATCCTGGGTTCGATCCCAGGCGTCGGCGAGAAACAATGGGCAGAGTTTCTTTCACCCTATGCCCTTGTTACCTAGCAGTAAAATAGGTACCTGGGAGTTAGCCAGCTGTCACGGGCTGCTTCCTGGGGGTGGAGGCCTGGTCGAGGACCGGGCCGCGGGGACACTAAAGCCCCGAAATCATCTCAAGATAACCTCAAGATAACTACAGGTTTGCCTGTCAGATAACTATCCCTGCACCACAAAGTGGCAACAACACATACCCCTACAACAGGGTCACCTGAGTTGAAAATGCTCATATTTTTGTGTTGATGGAGCCCTGTATCAGTTGTGGAGAGATGAAGATTGTACTTGAGGCAAGTGATGTATGTATCCTTAAAAATATCAAAGGCCCACGACTATTCACTACTGACAACAAATGTTAAAAAAAGGTCACTGGAACAACAGTGGAAGCTGTAATGAAGGGAGAACTGGACAAGTTTCTGTTGGGATTACCAAATCAGCCTTTGTATGTGAACCTTTTGGCTATGAAGGCAAATAGCCTCACAGATCAGTCACTCACCAGGGAAGGCTACTGGCTACAGGCTAGGCTGCAGGAATAGAGTAACTCTTGAAATTGTCAACAGGTTATCATTGTGCAGTGAATTTACAACACTACTGTATAGGCACACTTCCTGTCACTATGTACAGTATACAAGTCATTTGCATGTCTTTGGACTTTGTAAGTGGCTGCTGACTAGTTACCGTTTCTGTTTGGTTAGTACAAGCCGCAATAGTGGTTAACATTAATAGTTGATGACCAAACAACACACCAGAAGATGAAGAGACGACAATGTTTGGATCCGTCCCGGATCATAATCAAGTTAATTGTGGTTAATAGGTGTTGCGTTTTCAGCCAGGTTTCCTTTTGATTACTCTTGGGCAATGGTTCCTAGGACTGATGCAGTTATCTGTAGTTCTAGGAGAGGAGAGAGATGGGAAGTGCAACAGCAGCAGCAGCCCCAATGTTCTGTTTGAGTTTGATGGATCATTTATTTCTCCTCAGATTATGTCACAAAATTAGTGACGAGGAAGAAGTTGAGCCCCTCAGTCCAGTGATAGTGGTGTTTTCAGTGGCTAGCTACCTCATGCTAATGATGCAGTCTGAAAGCTTAGTTGAGTGGTGACACACATTGTCATGAGAATAACCAGTAATGAGGAATGATAGATGCAGCTGGGATTGTTCGTCTGCTTGGATAGCACAAGAGGAAGAAACTTTTGCCATTTGGTTAGCCAGAACAGCAAGGTGTCACTTGTCATGTAGAGTGCTGTGTGATGGAACCAATTGGAAGATACTTAACTGTAATTATTCGAAGCATGAGGCAGTGTCAATGCACTCTTTATTGTGGCATGTCAAGCAATCTTTTCGGAGAGTATACACATACTCCAGAAATGCGTCGTGGGCAAGTAACTTGCTCTTTGCTGTAAGTATGTTGCCACTACATAGACTACTCATCCACCAGGATAACCACTGCTGTTAGCTAGATGGCTTATCATTACGAGAAGCTTAAACTGGATTTCTGCAGAGCACGTGTGTCTGCTTTGGCTGTTATGACGCATGAATCTCCACCATTTGCAAGTTCCACTGTGACTACTAATGTACTGTACTAACACAGTATTTCTGCTGCTGCTGCCACCATTGTTGCAGCACCTAATATACATACCATTTACAACAGTTGAAGAGTGTTGAGGTATTGTCACTCTTAACACAAATAAAATCTGGCACTAGTGTTTGTCCTGGATCATGTATTAGTTTGCATAGTACTTAGTTGTTAAGGTTGGAGGTATATGATACTTCTTTGCTTTGCTTTGATAAAAAAATGTGTGAAGTTTTCTTTGGAGCTAGTGATCTTTGGATAAAGGCACAGTATATGGCCATTTGATCCATTGTTCTCACAGCAAATAGTTTAGGAGAGGTTCAAAGCGTAGAGAATGGTAATAAAGCAATGTTTTACCTCAGCCTAAGCAAAGTATGGCAACCTGGATAGTTCAAATTACTAGTAGTGCATTTTAAATATGCTAAAGCAATTTGATAGCTGTATGAATAATATTAGATTGGATATTTAATGGCTTTAAGGTATCAAATAACAAAGCCAGTGATCACTTAGGTCATTACTTATGTTGTTTTGATCCAGTATTGGGTAATAATATTTTAGAATTTGTTAATGTGTTAAGAACACAAATAGTATTAAATAGTCATCCTGCCGAAGTGCCTTGTTTTGAAATGTATATACCGGTAAGTTAATCTCGATCCAATCTGTTGTATATATGATGGGTTTTTATATTAGCAAGCATGCTATATACAGTAATAGAGAGCATCCCATATAATAGCATGTATTGCAATGTGTTTGACGTGTTGTTGTGTGATAAAACTCTTTGAATATTTATCTCTCCACTCTCTTCTTTTTGAAGATAAAAACATCCTCGTCAAGTCAGCATGAATTGTCTTCTGCATGTGACGTAGGTAAAGAAATTAATTTTAATATTGTGTATACTTTACATCTAAAGTACTATATTACTAAACTTTTCAGTTACTGCTAAGGAATTTTGAATACACAATTTAAAATGTTTATTTTTAAAATTTGTACTAATATAAAAATACTGTATTTAATTAAAATAGTATTTTGATTTATGCTGTTATATTAGGCAGATATTTTTTTAAAATCCACACGTTTTTATGAAAAGTTTTTATCATCTGCTTGGCTGTTTCATGTTCCAATAAAAGTATGTGTGTAGTGAATGTTGGTTATCTTGGTGTTAAATATTCAGTCTTTGTGAATGTGGATGTAACTCGTGTTCAAGCAAATTATGTTGAGCATATTGACTGTAGGCGCTTTTTCAAATAAATGTAGATAAACTGTTAGTACTCAATGATGTACATTGAGATATACGTACAATGTTAGTCCATACATTGTAGTACTGTACTGTATTAGTATTGCAAAGGGCATGATAAAATGCAATACCTAACCAAGAACCTAATCTAATCTCTCCTAATAGAAGAAAAAAAAATTGCCACAAGGAAACATGAGCCACTATCCAGAGGGCAAAGCCCGACGAGAAAGCTCGGTCACAAGAGGAGAGGCGTGAAGTGGGCATGCAACACCCGACCACCAAAATCCCACGGGTGTGAATTTTTTAGTGTTACATTGGCTTAAACCTAAACACAAAGAAACCACACACAACACTTTGAAGCAAAACCCAAAGAGAGAGCGCACTACGCAAATGAAAAATAGGAAATGACTGATATGGGAAAGTGGAAGCTTAGCATTAAGGCGTAAAGTTCGTAGGCACAAACAGGGCAGCAGTACCACTCATCAGTAGGAAACCACACTAAAGGTAGTGGCAAACAACTCCTGAAAAGTAATGTATTGTGCTGTCAGCCTTCATCAAAGAGCGTAAGGAAAAGAAATCGTGGCAAAAATAAAGGCAAATTTGATCAAGCCCTGCAGAGTACGAGCAAGATGATGGGTGGATGATGCCTGGACTAGAAAGGAGGAGATTGTAGGCAGCTTCTTTGAGCCTACTACTTATGGTGACAGTTGTTAGTGTAACAAGAGTGAGATGGGGATAAATTAGTGAGTAATTAGTGCGAGAAGAACAGAATGGGGGTCATAGTATTGTATGACAATACAACTGTATGACTCATACAACTCACAGTTGTATGACTCTTGTCATACAACTGTATTGTATGACAAGAGTTTTGGCTTCTTGTTTGGTTGTGTGTGTATTGTATAGAGCTGAGAATGTTCTCAGTTGTATAATATCAAATTTTGTATTCTTTATTTTAAGGTTTAACTGATTAGCTGACTTTGTTTCCGATCAAATGTAGCAGGGCATTTTTGTTTAGTGTGAGTTTTCTGGCATGTATGAGTGAACATTTTTGTTTACATGATTTATATTTTGAGTATAGTTTAGGAGGTGGAATTTTGGGGCTAAAGAAGATGAAGTAGTGTCCTCAGCAAGTGTTGTTGGTTATAGAAGGTTAGATGCATTAGGAGAGTCATTAATATAGTTAAGAAATGTGAGAGGTGCTAGTATGGTGTCTTGGACTACTTGTCTGGTAGTGGTGATGGCTATGTATTGGTGTGTATTGACAAGGTATGATTAGATATATTTAGTGTGGGCTTAAATTACACAGTGCTCAAGTTCAAGTAGGAGCGTCAAGTGACGTTTTGACGCAAAGTATTTACACGTCAAAATCCCCAACACGAAAAGCTGATGCACTGATATATCATAGTGGCTCGCAGAATTGATGAACTGGTATGTTTTGTATGTGTGGGTCCATTGGTTAGGTTAGGTTAGATTATGTACTGAATTGGGCCAACCTAATATAAGTTTGTGTAATGTTGTGGGAAGTGAAGAGGATGGATGGGATGAATGAAGAGGCGAGTTGAGTGAGGTGTTCTCTTGAATAACACATTGTATTTTGACGTTAAAAACCCCTTTAGACAAAATGTAATGTAGTATAAATCATAGTTGCTCACAAAGAACATCATTGTTTATGCACGGATCAATCCGTTATGTTAGGTTGGGGCAATTTAGTGCATAGTTTTGTGATGTGACAGCCTGAGAGGATGGACCGAGTTGAAAAATAATTGTTGCGAGAATCCTAGTAGATTAAGGCAAATTTGTAATAGCATCATTAGTATTCTGAGGGCTAAAGCCAAATTGGCTGAAACATATTGCACTCCGTGAATGTTACAAAGTAGTAGTAGTACAATAATGTGTACAATATGATGAGATATTATTGATAATAGATTTTATATCAGTCTAAAAACATTGCCAATTTAACACGAGTTTCATGCACTGGAATGACTCTTGCTTGTTTGAGACTTGTTCAGATGTATAGCAGGGAAGGTTTGTTAGTAAAAGTATTAGTTGGACTGGTCAGTAGAGCAGTGGACTAACTCCTTGCACAGCAGGTGTTTGATTGGTGGTGGTGGAATTGGATTGGCATCATTCTTTCACCCTCCATTCACATAGCCCAGCTCGTATCCTGTCCTCATATTCCTGCCCTATACTGTTGACTGTAGTGGTAGTAGCTTAGTACTTCCTCTTCATAATTTCCTTTCCTTCAAGTATTAGCTGATGAGCAGAGCAATGGTTGGGATAATCACTAGAGTAGTTGTTGCTTAAATAATAATAGTTATTGTTTGTGGTGGAAAGTAAAGCGTAACATCTGGTGTAATTTTAGTTATTCATAAGCTGATTTGTAGCGCAAAGTTATTTGGTGTGAAGCAGTAACTGAAAAGTGAAGTTAAGTGATATTACTGTTGTTGTTTTGTTAATGTTGCATGTTATAGAATATAGTACTGTATAGCATTTTGAGTTGCACTTTGAAACACATTTTAATCAGCACATACTCTTGATTCAGAACGGCATAAAAATACAACACTTTTGCATAACAAGAAACATACAAACCCAAGCAAGCCACTTGACGTATCGGTGGCAGTGCAGAGAAATGCATACAGTATTACAGTGCTGTAAATCAGTACAGTATTACAGTGCTGTAAATCAGTACAGTATTAAAATGCTGTAATGTTTTGTGGCATGTCGCATGTTTAACAGATTGGTCAGTTGTGTTGAAAATGCTATGGACTAGGTGAGAAGACAGGTTATGTAAATAACTGCAATAGTCTATTTAGGAATAGTTGTACTCGTGCAGCAATAAAGAATAAAATTGAATTTGTATTTAGAAGCAGCAATGTCCTGTGTTGATTTAGAGTTATTGTTATCATGTTGATTGTCTTGATGTTTTTATTTAGTGACTATGATTGTAAAGATATTGGATGATTTAAGTCACATTGTTTTCATCATAAATGAATGAAAGAATATTGGAATATATTGTATTCATAATTAAATTTCAGTGGATGAAAAGAAAACTCCCAACCCACACGTCTGATAAAGAAGAAAGTGATGACAGTTCAGTGCATTTTGGACCATTGTCAAGTCATAGGCCAAGATGATCTGAAATATTACATTTGCTTTCATTTCAGATGTGTGGGTTGGATGTGTAATTATTAGGTACATTATTGTGACTTAGTGTGTGTGTAATTTCAGTGGATAATGAGCCACTCATCATTCACCATCACGACCATCACTCTCATTCGGGGTCGGACCACGAATACCACAATCCTGATCAACGGCCACAAGCCAAACCTGGCAGCAGTAGCAGCAGCAGTAGCAGCAGCGAGGATGGCTCTGATCACGAGGCCGAACCAGAGCCCGAGGCCGAACCAGAGCCCGAGCCCGAGCCGGAACCAGAGCCCGAGCCCGAGCCGGAACCCGAGCCGGAACCAGAGCCCGAGCCTGAACCAGAGCCAGAGGCAGATTGCAGCTCCAGCAGCAGTAGCGAAGGTGGCTCAGAGCCCGATGATGATTGTGGTGGAGGTGGTGATGAGTAATATAATGATGATAATTTGTTGTGTGAAGGTCTGCATGGGTTAGTGTATATTTAGAAGTAGGATTCATAATAATCAAAAATGTACAGTACAGTATTAATGTTTAATGATGTTTTTTCCATGAATGAGAATGAACGTTTGTTATAAGAAGATACAGTAGGGCATGGTGGCATGTTATTACTCATGCACTGGATATAACTGCCTTATCTAAAAAAAAAAAATGTGTATTATTGATGAAAATGTACTTCACAAATGCTTTAGTTTTTACCACTAAAGAAGTTTTAAAAAGGGTTGGCTAATAATAAAGGTACGTATATGTATTCTCATTTAGGTTCGTTTATCATAAAAATAGTACGAGTAAACAGTACAGTATTTATGTTTAAAAAAGTAAAGTTTTTGCAAGATATCAAAATGGTAGACATTTTGAATATTTCCAGTTAGATGTAGGTAACTTATCAGGTTAGCTGTAGTTGATGCAATGTGGGGTAGATGTTGTGTTAAAGTATACATGTTATTGGTTTCTTAAGAGTTGTGATGTGAGGTTTGTAAAGTAAACTCCATTTGTAAAGTACATTTTTAGCAAGAATACTGTAATATAGTATGTACATATAAGGTACCACTGAATGTTGTCATTTTTTACAAATAAGTTTTGATCAGAAATATGTTTCAAGTCATTTGGATATTTTGTTTGCAAAATTATATGTAAATGTATCTGTAAAAGTTAGCTCTCTAATACTCTGATGCCTTGTATCCCGATGAGCACCTAGCCGAGGGCGGGCCATAGCATAGAACAATCCCAGCTGAACACGTCCTATCCAGTTATAACCTCGTGGGATTGTTTCTGTGGTCTTCAAGTTACTCTTTATAATGTGTAGAAATGAGAGTAAACCTCCCCTTACACTTCACTTAATATACCGTTGTTTGTGTCGACGTGCTTTGCTGCTATACCCCTCGTATCGTTGGTCTTTTGTGTCACCCGATATCTTGCACACTGAGTTCTGTGTGAAAAATGCGTTATAAATTTTGTAAACAAGTTGTTTGAGGAGTGTGAATTGTAGTTGTGAATACATGCTGATATTTGGTTATGATGAGCCAGGAAGAGTAGGAATATTTGTATGGCAGTCAACTCTCATTATACAGGAAAATGACTAGACCGAATTTGGCTGGAATTGAAGTACTGTAATGTATGTTAAATGGTCAAATGTGTTAATTTGTATGTGTGAGTTACAAATTGTAAGAAGAGAAAATGGTTGCGAGTGAATAGTGACGGTACGCAAATGTGGCGAGTGAACGGGAACACAAAGACGTAGAGTTTGTACACGAGGTTATCTAGAGATGATTTTGGGGCTTTAGTGTCCCCGCGGCCCGGTCCTCGACCAGGCCTCCACCCCCAGGAAGCAGCCCGTGACAGCTGAATAACACCCAGGTATCTATTTTACTGCTAGGTAACAGGGGTATAGGGGGAAAGAAACTCTGCCCATTGTTTCTCGCCGGCACCTGGGATCGAACCCGGGACCACAGAATCACAAGTCCAGCGTGCTGTCCGCTCGGCCGATCGGCTCCCCACATACGAGGCGACCACATACTACACACGCTTGGTGTGTCAGCAAGTAATAAGGTTAATTGTTGAAAAAATGACTAATTGGTTACAATTGCAGAAAGGCGAGTTGAAATAATGATACGGTGTGTGATAACAATGATGGGCAGTACAGTAGTGGGTGTTTGGTAGGGTTCCCAGTTTCTATGCTGTCTCCCTGGAAACACAAACCAAAACTGTCTTTATTTTCCGCTCGTTACAACTTGTAATAAAGTCGTTACATCTTGGCTTAACATGTTTATGACGTATTAGAACGTTGTTACAACTTGCTATATTGGTCGTTATAACTGGTTAGGAGGTGTTAAAACTTGTTCGACCATTGTACCAACGTCGTAGTTTCGGTGTGTGTTTTGCGGGCTGTGTTTGATTGAGTTTATAATATGGCAGTATGACAAATGAAAAGAAATCATGTGAAAATCAGTATTAGTCAAAGGGAATTAATGTGGTGTAGTGCGTTAAAACAGAGGGTGTGGCAAGGGTTGACGAGAAGATGACACGGCAGTGTGGTGTAATGTTGGCATGCCGACTCATTATTTGTTCTCCCCTTTCTGGAATAAGAATATATAGAATAAATGAATAGCTTTATGTAAGTGTGTGTTAACATATCTGCAGCATGATTGTGTAAAAGATTAACTGATACTGTACTTTAAAATTGTGTTTAGTTGATATATATTTGATATTGAAGTACAGTAATATGTTCAAATTGACATAGTGGATAAGAAATGTTTTGAGGTATGAATGTTAAAGTGTGGCAAAAATGTGTTTATTATAATAATATAGTGATGTGGGGACAGGCAGCAAGTGATTTATAGATGCTAATCTTACATCGAGGTCGGGCCAAAAGTTGCTTTATTGACCTCCCCAGGATGCAAGTGCATGATAAAGTGACAAACTGTTGGGTAGCTATTTACTGGTAGGTGAAGAGGGCATTAGGTGATATGCAATGTGGGCAAGCAATTGTGTCCCGGTTGGGATTGAAAATAAGAAATTTCCAGTGCAAGTCAAGTATGAAGCCGACTGTATGCCTGCGACCATAATAAATATATCTGTACGAGCTCCGTTATTCGAAGGGGATGTTTGTGTGATGCGGGCAAAATCACATCGAGATGTGTTTGTGGGCAAAGTTGTGCATATCCGGACCGAAACGCTGAAAATGAGATATTTGTGTGCATGACGCAGATTAGCATCAGGCTGTACTGTATTAACTGTGTCCAGCAGTAAATTGAAGCACAGAGTATGGGAGGGACCATCTGGGGATAAGAGGGTTACTGAGTATTTTACGTATATTGAAAAATTAGATTACTTGTACAGTAATATTTTATACAAGTTACAAAATATTATAATAGATAAGTGATACAAGTATAGTATGTTAAAAAGTAAGTGTAGAGGCTGAAGACTGTAGTTTGCAGCTAAAATGTGGGTATTTTTGTTGTGGCTGGCAGCCTATGTACGTTGCCTGTCCCAAGTGGAGCCGTCCAAACTAAACAAGGCCTGTGCTCTCTACCCTCGCGTTATACTATAGTAACGCACTATTAGTGGAAAAAATAATTATAAGTTTTCATAGTAAGTTTGATAGGATTATGTGTGGTAGCCGTGGCAATTATCATGCAGGTTTTAAGAGAAGGAAGGCTGTGGTAACAATAAATGGTGAGTTGCGTGACATTGAACTGGGAGAAAATAGGCGATTGGCTGTGAGTGTGAAAGGATTTAAGTATAGGCACTAGCAGCGTGTGCGACATACGAATAAATTAAGGTGTATGCATGAAATACACGGCAACCTGTGAAGGGTGGAAGGAGAGGTGTTGTGACATTGTGGTACATAAACAAGAAATGGACTAGGAATTCAGAATTTGCAGGCAAATATTGTTGGTGAAAGAGTGTAGTGTAGATACAAATAATGTTGAAGTATTTAATCATTAAATGATATAGACATGAAGAAAAGTATAATGGTGATGAAAGTGAATTGCATAGGAGGAGTTTGAGTAGAAAAACTGTATCTGTGAGAGTAATGTGGGAGTGCATAAGGTTACCAAGGAGAGGGTGTGACAATGGTGACAGGACACATGCAAGCATGTGCAATTGTTGGGCAACCTAAGAAGTGTAAAGGGTTGCAAGCTTGTTCAAGTAATGTGCTTGTTAAATGTTGTTGATGGTGAAAGCGTGTTCCTGTGTAAACATGCTTTTCAGTTGGTTTCATGACGTGTATTACATAGAAGTTCATTTGATCCTCTGGATCAAATGATGTGAATCCTCAGGAATTGATGCTCAGGATTACTGAAGTGAAAGATAGTCTTGGCTTGCTCGATAATGTACCTGGTGAGCCCTGAATTGAGACGTTTAGTTCACGTGCTCATAATATTACATCTATAATCCAGCCTATGGATTGTGGAGTTGTGTGTGCCATGAAGAGGTTGAAAGAAAGAAGTGTTGAATGATGTTTTAGGTTGTAAGGAATTTGAGGGTTAAAAGAAAACCTTGAAGATGTATTACACGAAGGATGTAAAGTATAGCAATGTAATGTGAAGACTTTCTGGAAGCAACATGTGACATACTTAATACCTAAGATATGGAATTGGATGGATTTACAGAAGAAAACCAAGGGATGTTGAAATACAGGATGTGGAGAATAGGATGAAGTTTGGAAATGAAGCTGAGATAGAAGGCAATACAGTATTGTAAAATCAAGAGGTTACATAAGTGTAAAATGAGTAAAAATAAAGAATTGCCAATTATGGACTGAGGGTAAGTAAAGAAGTGGATGATAAGTGTTCAAATACACAAACGGTAAGGATGTCAATAGGTACACATTTGAAGATTGAAATTAATATTGATTATTAATGTTGATTAATAAAGATTGAATAATATGAATGTAGGGATAAATATGTTTAGATACTATTATGGTTGAGTTACCCAAAGTACTACATCATTAAATAATTGAAGTTTGTACTATTCACGTATGTGTTTCCAGAGTGTATACGTGAGTAGTAAAAACACGTATGTAATGGTTTAGTACATACATGTATTTTATTCGATGTGGGGGATTGTACATGTTGTTAGATATGAGGAATGTGAATACCAATATGATAACAGTGAACGTTGGTGACATGAAATGCATGAAAAAGACCAGTAGCCCCCATGTGAAATACAGTAGGTAAGAATGTGGGTAATTGTATGACATGCACGTTGTGAGTGATACAAGTTGGATGGACCAAAATAAAGTGGTAATTGTTAAAGGAATTTTCTACCCTGTTATTACTCGAGCAAACAATTGCATATGGACCCATATCAATACATGAGAATATAAATACATAATAGGAATTAATAGTTTGATATAAAAATCAAAGAAATGAGTTTAGTATGTATATGTATATATATATATATATATATATATATATATATATATATATATATATATATATATATATATATATATATATATATAATATTAGTATATTTTGGTAGCAGTCTTTCCTGTAGACATATATTATTAAATATGACCGAAAAAGTAAGATTAATAATTCTAACACGAATTTTCTCAATTTTTTGTACATTTCGTTTCACTGTTGTAGGTAAATCAAAAATAAATTCTCCAAAATTCATTGTTATTTCTAGACTAGAAATAAAAATGAATTTTGGAGAATTGATTTTTGATTTACCTCCAACAGTGAAACGAAATGTACGAAAGATTGAGAAATTCGTGTTAGAATTATTAATCTTACTTTTTCGGTCATATTTAATAATATATATATATATATATATATATATATATATATATATATATATATATATATATATATATATATATATATATATATATATATATATATATATATATAATAATATATATATATATTATATATATATATATATATATATATATATATATAATATATATATATATATATATATATATATATATATATATATATATATAATATATATATATATAATATATAATTATATTATTATAAATGTTCTTTGTTCCAATTATCCCCCTTCCACTGTGTTTCCTTGTCGTGGTGAGAGGGCTCACGTACACCTCTCTGAGACCGGTGAGGGTTGCCCCTGCACCTTTCCCTGTCCCTCTTTGTGAGTTGTACGTGTGAAAGAACACCAAACGTAGGAGTCTTGTGAGCCAACAGACCACCTGCTGGAGAGGTCGTCAGTGAGTGGCTGCCATAAGTGAATGGCTGGGTATCCAGGTTGGGGCGAAAGGGAGAATGAGGTGTTTGCACAAGTGTAGGAGAATGGATGAAGCAGTAGGACTCTCTCCTGTTTAAAAAAGGGGGGAGCACCGCTGGGGACGACGTACCCCTTCCTGCAGTGGCCCGCGCTCGGCCTCCCTGGCTGCCCTGGTAGGTGGTATCCCTTGGTTGCAGGCCCCAGACCTTTTAAAATACATGATATATGGATACTGACACGACTTCTCTTACCCAGGCTTATGGGATGGGCGACGAGGCACCCGAGTCAGAGTGTGATGGAAGACCGGGCTCTGTAGCCTCTACTACATTGGGCCCAGACCGGACTAATCCCCCCACCCCCACTCCCCTCCCTCCTTCGTGGCAGGGTCGAGTCCCAAGCCCCCAGTGGTGACCACCTCTTCCCCTGGCACGGCTCATTGTGACTACTGCACCTTTTAACCTGTCTCTCAGGGGGTTCTCAACGCTGTCCCCACCACGGCCGCACTCGCACGATCCCTTTTCATACTAATACGTACAATGCTTTGTTTGGTCCTGCTTCGTGGGGTAAATACTTTGATTTCCACTGTCTGGAATCTACTCCCGAGGATTTCTCCATAAACACGTTGATTCGGCAGATGGCTCTGTTACTTTTAACCCCACCCGTCTTGGTACATGTGTCATCACTGCTCGTTCTCAGGATGGAGCTACCTGCTTAGCCACATTGTCCTGCATTGGGGAGACCCCTGTTTGGGTCTTCAAAAATGCTTGGTTAAATGCCAGTGTTGGCACTGTTCTCCTCCCACACCATGTTGCAATTGGTGTTAGGGACCTAAAAGACTGCCATGAGGATATTAAAGATATCCTCGAACCCCAAGGCCATTCTGTCCTGCAGGTGGACATGTTCACCTGACCCGCTGGTGGTCGTCGTAGTCAGGCCCTTTGAGTTGTGAAAATCACCTTTGATAGTAGGACCCTTTCCGCCCTGTATAATTGTTGCTTGTGGCAAATGCTCCGTTTAGGAGTACATTTTCCCTTGTAGACTTTGCAATAAGTGCTGGAAGTTTGGGCATGGTGTCCTCAAATGCACAAGTACTGTGTATGTATGCCTCATGTGTGGGGACGATGATGACCCTAAGACCGAGTGCACTTGTCCCTCAGGCTCGCTGCCTCAATTGCGGTGAGGCCCACTCTACGTTCTCCCGCTCATGTATACACAACAAAGTTGAGGAAGCCATCCTCAACTTGAAACAATGTGATTGTCTGTCTTTTCCTGAAGTGAGACGCCAAGTTCGCCGTCTCACCCCTTTCGCTGGCGTATCGTATGGTCGCGTGTTGAGTTGTACCTCTCCTCGTCCTTCCCACGTTACTCAGTCTCACAACTGTTTCCAGGTCTTAGAGGCGGACACGCCCACCAACACCTTCTCTGTTCGTTTACGTTTTGTCCCGTTGGGGGCCCCCCTCCTGGTTCTCCATCTGCAGTTTTTCCCATTCGTACCCAGTCTGCAATGTCTCCTGTGTCTTTTTTCCGTTCTTTGCCTAATCCTTCTCCCCCCTCCCCCTCCAGTCTCGTGGGCCTCCATGCCGCCTGTCTGACCAGGATGGTGTCCATGATCCTCGCAGCAATCTTCATGTTGTTCACTCCTCCTCATCTTGTCCTGTTGAGAGAATTGAGTCTGTGGCCCAGTACTTTGTTGGTGGAACACCTGTCTCTCTGAGTCAGAAATGTAAGCCTGGTTCTTCTCCCTGGTCCGGGAGCCGGTCGGCCGAGTGGACAGCACGCTGGACTTGTGATCCTGTGGTCCCGGGTTCGATGCCGGGCGCTGACGAGAAACAATGGGCAGTTTCTTTCACCCTATGCCCCTGTTACCTAGCAGTAAAATAGGTACTGGGTGTTAGTCAGCTGTCACGGGCTGCTTCCTTGGGGTGGAGGCGTGGTCAAGGACCGGGCCGCGGGGACACTAAAGTCCCGAAATCTTCTCGAGATAACCTCAAGATATAACCTCCCCGGTGGGTAGGAAGGCATCACTTTGTTCGTGGCTCCCTACCTAAGACCCTCTGGCTTTGTCCCCTCGTATTTGGGTGGTCGGGGCCCCCGGTCCCAGGTATGGATGTTTCTTTAGGCCCTGATTCCCTCTCGGTTGCTGGCCTTGCTGAGGTGCGCTCCCCAGTTTCTACCCCCCTCCCTTCTCCTGCTGTCCTTGACTGCACCTCTCTGTTGTCTCCTGCTCCTCCGGACCGTACCCGTCTGTGTTTGGTCTGTCTTCCTGCTCCTTTCACTCCCTCGTTAGTGAGTTTACCCATGCCCCATAAGTCTGACTTTGGACCGTACCCGTCTGTCTTTGGTCTGTCTTCGTGCTCCTTTCACTGTGTCGTTACTCAGTTTACCCATGCCCGATAAGCCTGACTTTGCTGACCCTGATCCTGAGGTTATTTCATATGCTGTGTTCTTTTTGACCTATGTTTCTTCATTGTTCTCTGTTGGTGGCGTTTGCAATTTTGCCCATGTCTAATTTTCCATGTAATATTTGTGGATTTTATGGGAACTTGCATGAATTCCAAGTTCTGAATACACAGATGTCACCACTTTGTGTATATCTCCAGGAGCCAATGCTTGGTGCTCGTTCTGGTGACTTTTGTGGTTATTGCTTTCTCCCCCAAGATTTTGATGTGGCTCATAACTGTACTGCTGTCTTGATTTGTACTGATATTCCCTTCATCTGCCTAGTTTTTCAATTGCCTCTCCAATGCTCTGTTGCCCGTGTGTTTGTGAGTAAATGGTATATGGTTTGTTCCATGTATGTTCCCCCAAATGTCCCACTTTCTGTTCGTGATGTTATGCACCTAGTGGACTCCTTGCTGGAGCGTGTGCTCCTGTTGGGTGATTTCAAGTGTTAACATGCCGTCTGGGATGGTGATGTGAGAAACACCTGAGGGTGCCTTCTCGAATTGTTTGTCCTCTGTGTCTCTTCTGAAGTCTGGTGAAGCGACTCATGTGGACTGTGGCACTCGCACGCTTTCGTGTGTTGATGTTTGTCTGTGCTCGTCGTGTGTTTGGTTAGATTTCACACGGTGGGTTGTTGATTACGTCCATAAAATTGACCATTTTGGCATTCTTGTGTTGTTGTTCTCTTTTCACCCTCGCCTCTCCTTCCCTAGGTGGGAGTTTGGCAAAGGTGAGTGGAACGTATTCACCCTCTGTGCTATTCTGACTGACCTGTCGTTTGTACGTTTTCCTGGCGCCCTCCTCGTTTGTCATGACAGCATCTTCAATGATGGCGTGCGCTGTATTCCTCGCTGTACGTCCCCGGGCATGCGGAAGTGTGTTCCCTGGTGGAATGTGGATTGTGCTGGAGCTATCTGGTTTAAGCGTGCAGCCTGGAAGAAACACCGACGGCGACAGAGGGCTGATTGTGCTATTTTGTTTGGGAAAGGAAGTGCAGTAGCCCGTAGGACCATGTGTAGAGCTAAGTGAGAGAGTTGGAAATGTTACATTTGCACCATTACGTGCGATACTGCTGTAGCACAGATTGTGGAGAAGATGTACAAGATTGGTGGTAAGTTCGTTCGAGATATGTCGGCGGTTCTTCACCTTTGTGGTACTCTTGCGGCGGAGTGAGTGGAGGTCGCGAGCGAACTGGGTTCGGACTTTTGTTCAATTACCTCTGTTTGTTATGTACCTCAATCGTTCCTTCGTTTGTAAGGGTGTTATTGAATCTCATCCATTAGATTTCTGCAATAATCTCTGCCTTCCCTATAGCGATCCCCCTCTCTCTGTCTGAACTTCAGTGTGGGGTGGCCGTGTGGGGTTGTACGGCAATGGGCTCGGTGACATTAATTGAGATGGGAAACCATGTACCTCGTTGCACTTGTCGGTAATTACTGCGTGTGTATAAGCAGGTATGGAAATCATCGTCAGTCCCTGAGGAGTGGGTTGATGGCATTGTAGTTCCTATTCGGAAAGTGGGGTGTGTGTGGACATCCCGTAAGGAGTTGCGCTCTATTGCCGTCACGTGTTGTTTGTGGAAACTGTTTGAAGGTATGCTAAATGTTCGTGTGATAGGTGGTGATGGTGTTCCAAGAACCTTGTCTCGTCCTCAATGTGTTTGTTGGAAATGCCGCAGGACAAGTGATGTCTTTGTGAACTTATAGGTGTATATTGGTAGTGGTTTTGCTGCGAAGACCTCGGTTGTTGGTGGGCTTTTTGATAAGGATAAGGCTTATGACACCAGCTTGAGATACGATATTGTGATAGCAAGTTTGTTCTTTTTGCGTTTGTTGTAATGTCCGTTTGTTCGTCACGCGTTGTTACTTTCGAGTGAGAGTTGGTACCACTGTGGGTCTTTTGATGAATACGAAGGTGTTCCCCAAGGTAGTGTTGTGAGCAGTACTATTTTCGTGGTTGCCCTCAATGGTGTTTTGTCTCTCCCTGGCTTCTGGCATGTTGTCGGCTCTTTATGTTGACGATGTTAGTGTTTGCTGTGGAGGTGACGACTCGCCTGTCGTTGCACTGTGGCTTGAAGTTGCGATTGATACTGTGTTGTCTTTGGGGACCAATCATGGCTTCAAGTTCAGTGTAAGTAAGATTTGTGCTATGACTTAGTCGAAAGCATGTTGTCGTTGTGTACATGGAATCTGTGAAGGTTGTGGGGGGTGATATCTCTGAAGTGTGAGTTGAATGGTGTAAGGTCATTAGCGTAGTTAGGTTTTAGTGGCATACATGTTGGGGATCGGATAGGTGCACGCTGGTGTATTTGCACTACTGTTTAAAGAGGGACAAAGTTTATTATGGTTGGCCTGCAGAGATGTGTGCTTTTGTTACTTGTTGCCATTTTGAATGTTTGCACGATAGTGGGTTTTGGGTGAACTGTGGTGCGTTTTGTTCCACTGTTAAGAAGGCCGTGTGAGCGTACAAGCAGAGATTATTTTTCGAGGATGGGCATGATTGCTAGTGTTTGATGTGTCATAGCATTTTGAGAATAATTTTTTGTTGATATTAGCAATGTTTGACGTGATATTGTTGTGTCTTTGTGTGGGAAGGGTGACCCTGGAAGCAAAGTGTATAGGTGTGTGACCGACATCACAAGTTAGAACGTTGTGAAATTTGTTTTCTTCATGCATGTGTGTCAGTGGCAAGATGGAAAGAGAGTGAGGAGATGGTGTAGGGGACTATGTTGTTCTCGAGGTCATTTATGTATGGGGTTTGTCGTGAGGGTATCATCTTGTCAATGCTCGTAGTAATTGTGGATGAATAATTTGTGTTGTGGTATATGTTGAATAGAAATGTTGGTAGAGTTTGGTGGTGTGTGTGTTTAAATGATTGTGGCGTTAAGGAAGGTATGTGCAGTTTGAATACGCAATCCCTTTAACATAGAAGGTCATATGTAGCTCTATATAGAAAATATATATACATATATATAGAGTATAATACTGTATATATATATAATCTAATATAAGAATGTAGATATAGAATTGTTATATTCAATATGTGTGAAATATACATATATAGAATATTATATATATTGAGAATACGGAAAAATATATATATAGAACATAAACATATATAAAATCATATATATAGAGAATATTCTTTATATATATTATAATATATAATACAATATATATATATATATAAAGAATATTGTCTATAGAGAATATTGTGTGTGTATATATATATTATAGTAATTAATAGATATTATACTATATATTATATGTATAATATATATTATGTAGTATAATTAATATTTATAAATATTATACTAATTAATATATATTAGTATATATATATTATGTACTATAGTATATATTAATTAGTATAATATAAATATATATATAGTACACATAATATATATACTAATTAATATATATATATAATTCCATGAATATTGTATATACAATAATATTATTGTATATATGTAGAATAATATAATATTCTATATAGTATATTATATATATAATAGCATATTATTCTATATATAAATAATAGTCTAGAATTACTATATAATATCTAGAATAATATAGTATTATTATATACATTAATATATATAAAATTATATACAGTATATATTATTAAATATATATAGAATACTATATACATTATTATACTATAGATATAATATATATAGTATACTACATAATATATTATTCTAGATATATATACAATAATATTGTATATAGAAAACTATATATAATCTGTATAAAATAATATTCTTTATATAGTATGAAATATAAAGAATATTCTATGAATATATATATAGCTTATATTCATCCATATATACTATTACATATTCTAATCCTCTATAGTTCATTATATATCATCGAATAAATATAGTAATGCTATAATCTTATTCTACATCCTTAATATTATATATGCCCATCTGGAATCTATTCCTATATATGTTTTAGTATGTATTTGATGGATATGGGATATCTAGTAGACGAATTCCGTATTATCACATTTATTTATATTAATGTATATGGGCACAATAGTTTTTGTACAACATTCCATATATATTCTTATTCTACATGACGGCTAGTTGATATATCTAATACATATGTAGGTAGTTAAGGGGTTTTAAAGTATTCCTCAAATATTTGTATGTTTTGGCATACATACTACGCTGTATATGAAATGTTATGACTGAATCATTTAGTATGTGTTCAGGTATATTGAAGTATGTTTACGCTAACCTATATACATGACGTACACCTGTCAATGCTGCACCATACCTTGTATATTATACTACACGTCAATTCCAGTACGTTACGTAATCAACAAACAGTCTAGCCTTGCTTGCTTCTAAGGTTCACCGCCTCAGGTGCTATGATGACAAATACGAGACAGTTCGGCCTTATTTATCGACTCGACCAAGACGTGACCGCCATTACATGTCGGGTCCGACTGTCCAGCATACAATTCTACACAAGCTATGGTAAATGTAAACAGATTTAACTCAACATCTAAAATACTTGTTGTCAAGTCAATAAAACATTTCCTAACTATTTTCATACCTGTAAGGTCAAGTATTTCATATTTACGTTACGTAGTCGCTGTCAAACTGCCGTTTGGTACCACAAATAACATGTACTAAAGGTATGTACACATTACGTTTTGAAATCAACCTAACTAATGCGTGTTTCCAACGAAGGAGTCACCTACGCTCACATTGAGTGGAACTACTAAACTCTTTTCATGATCTGTATACTAGTACAGTTCATGCAACATTGACACGAGATTTAGTACGTGTGCAGGTATCAATCATTAGTCGTACGTTTGGGTGATAGAAGACAATGTGTTATTAATTTTTATTTACCATCTTACATTTCTTTCCCTACTCATTTAATCCTGTTGTGATAGCCTAAAGCTACATTTGGCCGGTACAGTTCATGCAGCACGACACCGTCCAAGCTATGCAGCAGATTTCTTGGTTCCTCCGTCATTCATGCAGTATTATATCAACCTTCATCTTCATGATCTGCTCGCCCCGTCCCCGCTCATTCCTCCTGTACCTTTCGAACAAAGAAAGCCAATTAATACATCAATAATGTGACAATAAGTTACATGTACATTATTATTCATAGTAACAAAATTCATACAAAACTACTTTCAATACCGAGTGTAGGAACATTGAAAGTTGATTGTTTCCAGCTAAAATGTTGTTTCAATCATAGTGAGCGTAACTATTTAACGCTGAAACTAACTAGAAATATTAAGGAAATTCTTTTTTCTCCACACAATTACGACAATTTCCTTTTCACATTCAATACGATCCTATAATATCTACCTCAATTTCAACGTATATTTGGATAGTTAATTTCAAATATACGTTATCTATTCATTATTCTAAATATTGTCCCCATATTGATTATTACAAAGCTCAACACCAATACAAGCAATGGAGGATACGTAAACTTCACCTCTAAACATGTATCCACCGCCACGTGATATGGTGATATCGTGACATTGTACAATGATTGGGGTGGGGAATTTTATCATTTCTGTTTATTCTTGTTAACAAGACATTTCAACCTCCACATATAAATGCCACCTCGACCAGTTCTCAACACTACGATCCCTCTACTAGTCGCCAACCTAACGTTATTCAACCCTATTTACAAACCCATGGTTCCCACACCATTTTAAATTGTATTGTAGTAAATAAAGAAGACTACACTGCCCTGCCATTACGCGTCTCATTCTGTACTACATCATACCTTAAGGTATCGCTAAACAGGTCGTCAAGCCTTATTCCATAAATGCAATCACCCAAATCTTAGCTGTACCCTTTCATGTTCGCCACCCCGGAGTAGGAGAATTAACCTTCTGTACAACCATAACTAAAACACGACACTAACCGTTTTCCTCAAAGTTTTTAACAAACTTAACTGGGGTAAATTTCATTTGACTTGCTGCCTCAGATGTGCCGCATAAGTGAACGTGGCTACAGCAAATGTTTAAAACCACTAACGTATCCCTTATTTGTAATCAGTACAAGGGTAATCTTGTTTACACAATTTCCTATGGTACTTGCCGTCACCCCCAATACATTCAATGTACATATTTTCTACCTAAAATGCCCCTTTGACCCTTCAATACAACACTACCTACACTTATCCCTACTTGCAAGTATCCCAAATAAGTAATGCTAGGTGTCTTACTATATAAAAGTAGCCAAGATTTTTTTAAACATTAAATACTAGCATATTCCTAACATGTTTAACGTTAAGTACGCCATCTATTCAGAGTACTAAAACTGTACGTTTTAACTATTCTTTCCAACCTTAACACTACCCTTTCGTATCCACAATAGTGGCTATGAACAACTATAACTCCAATACCCTATATAGTTTTAGCGACCGTACACTTACGTATAATTTACCCCCACCCCCTGCTAATTTTGTAACTATACCAAACTTGTATATAAATGTATCACTAACATCTGCCTTTCAAACTGCCAAACACATCAACTCCTGCTTGGCCTCCACTTACGCCTCTAAATTATCGTAAAGGCAATTTACCACTGTACTTTGCCCCTCTGGGGCCACTTAACCACAATACTCCTCTCCTCAAGAGCTAACACTTCTTGTCCCACTATTCAGACACTACCTACTACACGTCCACCCACAAAGTGCACACTTTGGCTTACCTTAACACGGCTACCTCGCCAATAACTTCACACCAATATCAACAGTCCACTTCGGTGGCCATTTTGCAACGGACAAAGCCGTTACGGTCACCACAACGCCTTCACCTGCAAATAAAACAAACCATTATAAATAAATTTATACACAAAACTACATGGGGGAGGGATCACTAACATTGTGCATCAGAACAAGATTTCTTGTATATAGAAATATACAAAAACTATTGTCCATGTAGCACGGGCTCATTCTAGCCCGTAACAAAGTAGTCACGTTTTGACGGTGTATAAGTTAATTGGGTTTACGTATGGGTCTGTAGGCCCCAGCGACCCACAAACAGTCTCGACAATAATTGGGTTCAAGCATCAGGGTACAGGACCACTACTACCACCACACCTACACAACCGTCACCCGTGACTACTGCGGGGAAAATAACGTCCCGTCGCTCCCGTTCACACACCTCGACTCATCAGCCAATCACGTTTCCTGCGTGACTTGACGTCATTTTTCAAACTAGCGGTTTATCACTTCTAATTGGTCGGCTCAACCTGATTCCATAGCCTAGTGATAACAATCAATTATTTCTTTCAACTTCACATTGTACTCTCAAAGGTTTAACCAGCTTATCTGTATATATACATACACAGTTTACTTTAGTCCTAAACTATGTTCAAGACTAACATTATTTTTGATGCTTACAAGGCTATTGTTATAAACGTAATAACCATCCACCGGCCAATACATCGTAAAACAAACTTCTTTTTCGGGTTTGAAAATTTATCCACTTTAATTTAGCAACAATTAGTTTTGCAATATATATAAACTACGAATAATTTCAATTTGATAAATCTAGCACCCAATTTACCTACTCATTCTTGCTAACATTTTACACACGATTCTCAAGTGATGATCGAACATGTCTCGAACACTGCTTCACAACCTGTCCTCACGCCACACTCGTTAAAGCCCCCACCGCCCCCCCCCCAATACCCACACATCAATTTCAACATAACGTCTATTAAATATGTGTATATTATATGTGAATCAATTATGTGAACTATTAAATAGTAAACTTAATGCCTTGGCAAGAATGGTCAATCCTCGTCATTACTATCTACTCTCTTAACCCCACAATGTATCTTCTTGTAAATAAAATCTTCTTATAAATAAAGGTTTGTCCTCGTATATAAATTAATATTACAAAACAAAAGTGAACATAACACAACACTCACTAGGAACATGATACTACATAATATTTAAATCCTGCATTGTACCAATGACTAAACAACATTGCAAATCCTGGAAACTATACTAATGAAATAAACAAACACCTTAAATATACTCAATAACGACTTTGATTCCTAGTCAACACTTACACACGAACACCGTCACATCATGACGTCTCTAACGTTTCCCCCCCCCCCCAACTCCACCCCCCCTCGCCCACCCACACTACCATACATTTACCGTAAGCCTTACCCAACAATGTTGGATTGGTCCTATCTCCTTGCCATATGTTTCATGGCCCTTATCCCCCCTTACTCTTTCTTTAATTGGTCCCATTCCCGTATCCTTTGTTTAATACCCACATCACCTCACCCTATATTTTTACGGGCTATTCATGCCCGTAAAAATATTTGGTGCATTTACAGAAACCCACAAAAAAGACCACATGGATACTGAAATCTGGATTCCGATTTTTAATCTATATACATGTGACAGAGGAATTAGGTCAAATGGAGGAGTAAGTCTCTATATTAAAGAGGAGCTGGCATGCACAGAGCTCTTGAACTCGTCCAATGAGGTGGTAGAGGTACTTGGAATCAAGGCAGAAAATATGATTCTACTTATTATTTTAATATACACACCGCCAGATGCAACAGTTGAGAAATTCACTCAACACATCCACAAAATAGAGAAGATCCTTGATAACCTAGCAAACCCAGTACCAGATATCATCTGCCTCGGAGACTTCAATCTACCAAGTTTAACATGCAGAATAGTAAACAATAACATTATAGCAGCAATTCAACCTGAAAATAACCAACTACAGGTCACAGAACTACTGAGATTCTGTGACAAATTCTCGCTCAGTCAGCAGATTACAGAACCAACTACGAACGAAAACACGCTGGACCTGATATTCACGAACAATGATGAGCTAATCAGACACATTACTGTCTCAGACACTACGTACTCGGACCACAAGCTCATTGAAGTGCAAACTAACATTAATAACGGTAGTAGGCCCAAGAGAAACAACAAGCGAGAAGGGCTATTCAATAACTTCAATTTTAATAATAAAAGGATACACTGGGAGAAAATAAACAGGGAACTTACAAACATTCAATGGGAAAATATTCTAAGAAATACAAATCATACACAAGGAATAAAAAAACTGACTTCTGAAGCATATCAAGTCTGTCTGAAACATGTTCCTTTGATGACCAGACCACACACTAGAAGTTGAAGGAACGACGACGTTTCGGTCCGTCCTGGACCAGTCTCAAGTTGACAATCGACTTGAGAATGGTCCAGGACGGACCGAAACGTCGTCGTTCCTTCACCTTCTACTGTGTGGTCTCGTCAACATACTTCAGCCACGTTATTGTGACTCATCGCCTGCATGTTCCTTTGAAGAAAGCCAGAAAGAGGTCCAATGTAGAAAGAGAACGCACACGACATTACAAAAGAAGGAAGAAATTAACGGAAATGCTTAAGCAGACACGACTCTCCATACAAAGAAGAAATAATTTAAACAGGCAGATTGAAGAAATCGAACAGAGACTGGAGCATTCCTATCAGAATGAAGAAAAGCAACTAGAACAGAAAGCAATTCAAGAAATCAACAAAAACCACAAATATGTCTTCACATATGCTAAATCAAAACCGAAAACCACTGCTAGTATTGCACCTATTCGTATTAGTGAAGGTTCATACACTGAGGATGACAAAGAAATTAGTGAAATCCTAAAAAAGCAGTATGAAGACATGTTTAGCACTCTGATACTCAGCATGAAAATGGAAGATTCGGACAATTTCTTTATGAATGATACTCAAACACCTGTAAATATAACTGATATCAACACGAGCACGGCAGATTTTGAAACAGACATTGACAATATGCCCATGCACTCAGCCCCGGGTCCTCACTCATGGAATTCAATATTTATAAAGAAATGCAAAGTGCCAGTAGCACAGGAACTCAGTATAATGTGGAGGAAGAGCTTGGACACAGGGGGGATACCAGATGCGCTTCAAGCAGCAGACATTGACCCTCTACACAAGGGTGGTAGCAAAGCATTGGCAAACAATTATAGACCAGTTGCACTAACGTCCCACATAATAAAAGTATTTGAGAGAGTGACCAGGAGTCAGGTCACTACATTCATGGAAACCAATGACCTCCACAATCCAGGCCAACATGGATTTACACCAGGAAGATCATGCCTCTCACAGCTACTTGACCGCTATGACAAAATCGCTGAGACATTAGAGGAAAAACATAATGCAGATGTCGTATACACAGATTTTGCAAAGGCATTCGACAAATGTGACCATGGAGTGATTGCACACAAAATGAGGTCAATGGCTATAACTCGTAAAGTAGGACGCTTCATACTCATTTTCCGGTCGAACAGAACACAAAGAGTAACAGTCAATCAAGTAAAATCGAGTCCGACCGCAGTTAAAAGCTCTGTACCTTAAGGTATAGTCCTTGCACCGCTACTGTTCCTTATTCTCATATCATATATAGACAAAAACACAAGTCATACCTTCGTCTCATCCTTGGCAGATGATACAAAAATCAGCATGAAAATTACCTCTGCTGAAGACATTGATAAACTACAAATAGATATTAACAAAGTTTTCGACTGGCCAGCAGAAAATAACATGATGTTTAGGAAAGATAATTTCCATGTACTCAGATACGGCAAAAATGAGGATCTTCAACATAATACAGGGTACAAAACACAATCGATTCTGCCCAGAGTAGGAAAACAGCATGTCAAGGATTTGGGAATAATGATGTCCGACGACCTAACGTTTAGGGAGCATAACCAAGCAAGTATTGCGTCAGCCAGAAAAATGATAGGATGGATTACGAGAACCTTCAAGTCCAGAGATCCCATCACAATGGTTGTGCTCTTCAAATCACTTGTGTTGTCCCGTCTTGAGTACTGCTCAGTACTCACTTCCCCCTTCAGAGCAGGAGAGATTGTTGAAATAGAGGGAATACAGAGAACATATACGGCACGCATACACGAGATAAAGCACCTAAATTATTGGGATCGTCTCAAAGCTCTCCAAATGTACTCACTAGAAAGGAGACGAGAGAGATACCAAATAATATACACATGGAAAATACTGGAAGGCCACGTCCCAAATCTGCACAGTAAAATGACAACGTACTGGAGTGAACGATATGGAAGAAAATGCAGAATAGAACCAGTGAAGAGCAGGGGTGCCATAGGCACAATCAGAGAACACTGTATAAACATCACAGGTCCACGGCTGTTCAACGTCTTACCAGCGAGCATCAGAAATATTGCAGGAACAACCGTGGACATCTTCAAGAGGAAACTAGATTGTTTCCGTCAAGGAGTGCCGGACCAACCGGGCTATGGTGGGTATGTGGGCCTGCGGGCCGCTCCAAGCAACAGCCTGGTGGACCAAGCTCTCACAAGTCAAGCCTGGCCTCGGGCCGGGCTTGGGGAGTAGAAGAATTCCCAGAACCCCATCAACCAGGTATCAACCAGGTATGCCGGTGCCACCTCTGTGGTGGCTTAATCTTCTTTATCACTCAATTACCCCATATGTTCGACTCCTTCACAAGCATATTTAACTAAACATTGTACCTTATGTATTCATTTTTTTACCGGAACATCTTCTAGAGAGAAACGAAACGTTGTGGAAAGTAAATCCTTCAATTATAACTACGTTTCTTTACCATGATTTTTGGTAAATTCATTGTTCTTCATGCAGGCGATGAGTCACAATAACGTGGCTAAAGTATGTTGACCAGACCACACACTAGAAGGTGAAGGGACGACCACGTTTCGGTCCGTCCTGGACCATTCTCAAGTCGATTGCTCTTCATAATATGATACTAACATAAATAGACGCATACAAACCTTACACTTCGCTGCGATCATACTTAACTAAATATGTGTGAAGGACCCGCCTGCTGCCCAAGTATACAAATATATGTATATATATACCGAATGTTAGTATACTGAACATTTTCCCCATTAGTCATACAACAGTCAATATTGTGTAGAGTTGTGACCTAACACATGACCCAAGGGTACAGAAAGCCCAACTAACACTACTCACCACTAACATGAAGGAAGACGAACCCAAACAACAAAAACTTCTTTTCAATAAAGAGTCGTAAACTACGATCTAAACTGATCTACTTTTTACCAGATAATGAAGAAATTCCATACACCGAA